ATATATATAAATTTAATAAATATAATCGGTTATTAAAAGTAAAAGTTCGCTTTATAATTAAAAGAGATTAATAGTATAATTATAGTAAGAAAACGTATACTTCTACGTTAATTAGTCGTTTATTTCGGTTAATTATCGCCTACGTTACTAAATTCAATTTCGAATTTATTTAATATAATACAATAAATACCTTTATTAACGCCTACTTTAATAAGGAGATTTATATACGTATACCTCTTAATTATTAAAAGTATAATATTATTTTTAAAATCTTTAAGACCCTCTACGGTTTTTAACAAATTCCTTTACTGTAATAATAAAAATTTAACGGGACCTTCGAAAGCTTAGGGTTTAAACCGTTATTCGAAAACCTATATATCTTTAAATATAATAGAATTTTAATTTTCTATTACATTAATAATATTATTTTCGCCTTCGATAAATTATAGTACGATAAAGTTATACAAATTACGAAGAAACTGGAGGAGAAATATAAATTTATTAATAGTTATGATTTTTAATAGTTTTTAGGCATTAAAATTATTCGAGACCGAAAGGTAGGTTGTATTTAATTATTTCAACGGGAATATATTTATAAAATTACTAAATTGATTAAGAATCCCTATATTTTCACCTTCATTCCGATAAATAATAAAGAGTTTATACTTTACAATAGCGTAGCCTCTTTCGATAAGATTTAGGAATATTAAATCGTTATCGGCTCTATAATATACGCCGTTGTAATTACCCAGCCTAATATTACTTTCGCCGCTAATCGATTGGTTCACTATAATTATAATCCCAATCCTTAGTATCGTAAAGCTACTAATAAAATTTTATATTACTTTTAATAGTACTTTAATCTCTCCCTCTATTATAATAAATTAACGAAATTCGAAATCGCTTTAAATACGTCGTATGCCGACAATTCTCTAAATCGAAAGAATTTGTATAAATTTACAATTAAACTCTTCAATAATTTAGTTAATTAGAGTATAATTAAATAAAAGACAGTATTTATTTTAATAATAGAAGTAGAGCTATTATCGGTTTTCAATGTTATTAAGGAAACTATCGCTATTATACGTTTATATAAGGAGATTAATATTCCCTTCTGTAATAAGCTGGCGCTCAGAGGTTATGCCTGGCTCTAGGAGCCAGGCTTCTAGGCCTGCAGACCTTCTGGGTGGGCCATAGTTCCACTTCCCCTAATTAGCCAGGGTTCCAGTACTTAGGTTTTCCCTACAGAGCTGGCAAAGCCTACAGACCTTTTCCTCCTTATCAACAATCTCAAGCTCTATTCTACCCCTACTACCGTACACACCCAATAGACCCGTAATATATTATTGACCCTCTTCTTTAATCTTTTCTTTCCCTCCAGACTACCACCTTCGACGTCTGCCCTAAAGAGCCTCTTCTCAACTGTCTATACAACCTTTTCTCTTATTTATAAAGACCGCCTCCCTATAGACTCAACACCACATATACAACCCCTTTTCTCTCGTCGTTTTTAAAGCCTTAATCAATCCAATAGTTATATTCGAACTCTTTAACTATAGCCCCGCCGCCGCCGTCTCCCCAATCGAAGCCAATCCTCCCTATCTCAATAAACCTACAAGGACTACCAAATTATATACTAACGGTCACGATATTAATAATCTAGAAAATTCCCATTTCTTATTCCAACCGTTTACTATTCGAAAATTAGAGACCCCGCCGTTTCGCTCTAAACTTTCACCACCTATTAAAGTAATATTATTCCCTTTACTACCTTAATAGTTACAAACCTTTTTTTAAGGGCTGGAAACTAACCTTATAGCCTCCGTAAATAATAAAAAGGAGGAATATCTTATCAAGGACTACAGCACTATAGTATATAATTATAGTCCCTTATACATTAAGTAAAGAAATACTCTATAAAATAGAATAAAGGTAAAGCCGCTATACAGTTACAGCCTACTTCGTTAAATCGGTTAGGGACTTGTCCGAAAATAACGAAATTCATAATAATTACAAATAAACATTACCGCCCGGAGAGACGAAAAATAGTCCAGAGATACTACATTCGTTTCTAGAAGGCTCTATTTACGCTTAGATTCTAAAGGTTAAACGATAGTCTCTATTTACAGCGATATTAGGCCGTAATAGTCTGCAGCTATATATAGTAATTTAACAATTACTACAAAGAAGGATAATATTGTAGCTGTTTTGTAAGTATAAGTCGTTAATAACTACGCCGAGATTTATACTAAAGCCTCGCTACCGTACTCATAAGAAGGAGGGTTGTAAAGATACTTTACTTAGATAGGAGGTTCTTCGCTATAACGCTTTATTATATAGACTACGGTAAAATAAATAGGACGAGGGCTTACACGGATAGATAGGCTAGGTTTACATATATAGTACTCATTTAAAAATACGCGTAGGGGAGGATTGACAGGTCTTTCGCTCTAGTGCCCGCGTACGCGTACAATGTAGGTATTAAAGTATTATAATTCCTAGGAGCTTATTTTCTAAAATAGATTACTTTTTACGCTAGCTATAGAGGAGTTAGGTCTCTACGTTATTCTTATACATTTATTTAATCGTTTGGCTTTATATATATAGGTATTTGGTTGTCTTAGGAGTATTCAACATAGAGAGGCTGCGGTACGGATAGGAGGCCGCTTGGCTATACAGACTTGTAATGCCGGGGCCGTATTTATACGCCGCTAGGTCTAGAACTATCGGATTAATTCTAGGGATTTTCATTCTATATAATAATTTTTCTTTACTCTTTATGCGTAGGAGGGGGAGTTGGGGGGTAATGTAACGGGCTGGCGCCTAGAGGTTATACTTGGCTCTAGGAGCCAGGCTTCCAGGCTTGTAGACCTTCTGGGTAGGCTATGGTTCCACTTCCCCTAATTGGCTAGGGTTCCAGTACTTAGGTTTTTCCTGCAGAGCTGGCAAGGCCTGCAGACCTTTTCCTCCTTGTCAACAATCTCAAGCTCTGTTCCACCCCTACTACCGTGCACATCCAGTAGACCCGTGACACCTTCGATAAAGATATACCTGTAATCAGTTATAATAATATATAAATAATCCGTATATTAATTGTTAAAATAGCGAAGTTAATAATTAAGTTAAAGTATATTGATATTCATTATTATTAGTTAAAGTAGGAAATTATAGAGGGAAGGATTGAAATTGAATATTTAGAAACGAAAATATTAGCCGATAGATTAACAAAGGTTCTAGGACAATTAGATTACGAGAAATTTCGGGAATTAATAGGAATAATACATATATTAATTTGTAAGGAAATAGGGATGGATAAGGAGATTCCGAATAATACTCTAAAGGATATTTACAATTTAGTTAGAGAAATTAACGTATTAGAAGAGAGACTCTATAAATAGCTTTATTTTTACTCTATTTAGAAGGTTTATAAGTGAGGGGGTATATTAGATTTAAGGGTGGTTTTAGCTATACTATATGGAAGTTAGCCCTCTAGCTACCTAATATTACCTGATTTCTGGGCATATTTGGGTTACCCTAGCACCCCCTATACCTTCTGAGCGAATTAGTTACATACACTCTTCAATCCATCAATTCTGCACCGTTACATCTGACACTTACAACTGTAAACTGGCATCAAGCACCGTGGATTATGCAATGACGATCCTAGATTGCAAATCGAAACTAGAGTGATTTACCTGCAAGCCAAGTCTTCTTTCACCCATTAACAGTCGAGGCGAGCTGAGGCGAGTCGAAGCTGTTCCAACTGTTGATGCATTAGTCCACATGCGGAGGTCTACCCAAGGCATTCTTGTCCTGCTACCTACATATCATCCTTCCCAAACCGATTGGAGGGGGGGTTCAACGATCGTTGGGATTTTTCTGTGGCATGGAGATCGTAGCCTTGTCTTGGGGAGATTGTGTGATCACGCAGTTTAGCTTCTTCTGGCCACTCAGATCGATCTACATCTTTGACATATCAACAACGGGACGGAATATGCCTTGGCATGATAGAAGGACAACAACAAAGATAACAACAAAACAGAACAACAACAAACTAGGTCTAGACAACCCACACCGGGGTAATGCATTGGAGCATCCGCCGCTCAAACGACAAATCGTCAAATTCAACAACACAACAACAGAAATATCATGACATGGTTGGGCTTCAAGAAGTGGAGATAACCCTTCCTCGTTGTCAACAACAAACACCACACCCTAGGTAACGACAACACCCCAACCAACCTGGAACCAACCCATCTACGTAACCCACCTACACCAAACAACAAAGCACAAGCCGGTGTTTACACAAATGTCGTACAATCCATCAGAAGGCTCCGGCGGGGTCCCGTCATTCCCTTCCGAACCGCTCCAATACCCTCCTTTCGATCCTCAGGGGTTGAGCGCTTCCTATTGGCTGGCTCCCGTATTCTCGAACGGCTGTTGAGGCGTTGAGGTGATGGTTTACGTATCACCAAATGTACAGGGGGGGACTTAAGAGCCGCAAATCTGCTCGTTTCACGAAAAAAATTGAAATGCGGCGTAGCAACTTATTGCCCAATCGGGGAATACGAAACCGAACCGAGGAGAGACACTGTGTCGGCCACTCTCATATGCGGGCGGAGTGGGTGGAGAGAAGCTGAGAAGGAATATTGGGCTCGGGATGGAGTTCATAGTCTATTCTAGGGAGATGCGGGAGATGTTGGTTGTTCTGTCTGGGTGTGGAGGGGGTAGGTACTTTCTGGTGTTGGTGGAATCATAGAGATTCCAAAAACAAAGGGAAGAAGGAAATTCAAAAGGAAATAAAATGGACAAAAGGTGTGTCCGGAAGAGGGTTTTGATTCACAATCTCTGATGCAGTAAGCACTATTGTGTGGAGGAAAAAAGCTGTTCAGCTCTACGATGGGGGGGGAACTAAAACGCCCCTCGCGCCAACTGATCCAGACCGGACGTTTGTTAAGCTCTTCTGTTGGGAAGAGAGCGACAGTTTGAGAACCCTATTAACCCTAGCTACTGACTAGGCAAAGGAGGGGGAGGAGGAGATCTGCGTGATGGTAGGACGGGGTGAATGTTCAAGCACATCCGTCCCGTTGCCGTCACTGACATGGGGTTGGTTGTACTGCGGCAAAATCCTGGATTGACATCTCGCCGGCCTCTCGAACGTGTTGGGAACATCACCGATCTCGCACCTTTTAGTGCATCGTTGCAAAACGGATATCCTACGGAAGCAAACAAAGTGGGTGAAGATCGCAAAGCGAACATACGTCTGAAGTGGCTCGGTCACTCACACTGCTCGTCTTCTGTAATCCAGCCATGGCGCATTCGGATGAGTAGTTGGTGTTCTTCTTGCCCTTTGTTTGTCGTTAGACTCTTCGAACCCCTTGCCATCCACTAACGCGTCTATCACCTCCTCCCTTTACGTCCCTTGCTGGAGGTTTCGTAGCATCAACCTGCCCCTGAACACCACGCACCTTCTCCCTCTTCTCAACCTTTGTTTCGGCAGCCTTAGCCGCATCAACCTCATCACCACGAGGCAACTCCCCCTTCGCCATATACCCCTCCAACTTCCACAACTTCATCTGCAGTTCCGTCGTCGCCTCCCTTCCCACCGCAAACAACTGCGCCTGCCTCCAAAACCCCGTCTCCTCAAGCATCAACCTCTTCAACTCCTCCTCCCCGAGTAAAACCGTAGCATCATAAACCGGCAGTTTGGTACTATACCTCTCCCCCTTAATCTCCAGCGTCGACACCCTCATCGGGGGCTTCATAACCTTGTTTTCCCCCTTTCCATTTCCAGCCATCCCCGGCCCCCCACCACCAACATAAACCAAAGCACCCCTCAACTTCCTCTCCCTCGCCTCTTCATAACCCCCCCTCAACGGGGTCAAATACTTCCTCCTCAAACTCCCCGTCACCTTCCCCGTCAGATACAACAACTCATCCACGATTCTTCGTCGCATCATCTTGAGTACTAACGCACCCATATCCTCCCTCCAAACAGCTTTATTCAGCACCTCCGTCAACCCCGTCTTGTTGGTCGCGTTCCGCCTCAACAGCTTGCGATTATTCCCAAAGTACGGACTGCCCCTTAACGTAAACTCGTGCAGCAGCGTTTGATTGCTCAGCGTATACCCACTCGGCCCCAAAGCCTGGTCTTTTTCCTTTTCCTTCGCTGCACCAGCAGCCTCATGAGGCGATAAATCAGCAGGCACAAACCACGGCTCGTCCGTGTCCGGGTGGCGGAGGAGGTTGAATTTCTGGAGGAACGGTTTGGGCAGTAAAACGTCGGTGGCGGTGCAGGCGCGGAGGGGGGCGGCGAGGGCCAAAGCGAAGGGGTTGGATTCGAGCAGTTGTGAAAATTTGGAGACGCGTTGGCCGGGCGGACGGGAGGTGGGTTTGCGCTCTTTCCACCGGTTGCGAGAGGAGTGGTAGGTTGGGTCCATGATGGGACTGAGGGGGAGGGTGAGGCCGGTTTTGGTGTGGACGGATTTTGTGGTTGGGTCGATTTGGTATGGGCGGGAGGAGTAGAAGTCGTCTGGGTCGAGGTCGAAGTCTTCGGTGTAATCGGAGGAGTCTTTTGGTGAGGATGGGGGTGGTGGTGAGTTGTTGGATTCTTTTTCTGATGGTGATGAGCGGAGGGAGGTTTGGTGGAGTGAGCGCCGGGATATGTAAGGCGCTGTTGCGTAGCATTTTTGTATTGTTGATCTCATATTTTAGTATCTGGTTCTCCCTTTCTCCTTAATAAGAGACTGGGTGAAATTGGAGTGGGGGTTCCTGGTGATCTTCTGTGGTAGAAGAATGATGTTGAAAAGTTGAAGATGGACTTTGAGATGCGAATATCTGCAAGCTTCTCCAATGAAAGTCCGTGCTCTGTTTGGTGTTAGTGCACCCCTGCAAGCTCTAAGGAGCTAGGACACGCCAAGAATGGAGACGTCGCGATTCCCCACGTTCGTCCCCAGGGGAGCTCCAGTTCGTCACTTGCCTGCCTGGAGCTCTAAACATTGAACTGGGCTGTTATCGCAAGCAACTTGAACCTTGAAGGTCTCTTTCCCAGCAATTTTTCCGAAACGACGACAGATAATTCGCGATTTAGTGTCTCCAGATTCGAAAGACCATGAACTCACCACGAGCGGCAATGCGCATTCTGCGACGGGTTGGCGCGCCTGCGACACGCCGACGCTTCTCCCAGTTCACCGGCTCCGGTTCGGGGGCACCTTTGCGGCCCATGGGCAACATTCCCATGCCATACATTACAGAGGTCACGGTATGCTCCATAATCCACCATTTAGTCTTCAACGTACGAGCATGGGCTAACTTTACAGGCTGGAGGATGGCGAACATGTATGTTTTGTACTAGACCCTTCCGAACTCGAACAGGGCGCTGACCGATTCGCAACAAAGCCGATATCTTCTCGAAACTACTACAAGTACGCTCAGACCTCACCTTCACACACCTACTACGCGACCATGTCTGACCAGCCCAGGAACGTATAGTATGCCTCAATGGCGCGATCGACGACACCACCTCGGCCGCGATAGTCGCCCAGCTCCTCTGGCTCGAATCCGATAACCCCGACAAGCCCATTACCATGTACATCAACTCGCCCGGCGGCGAAGTGAGCTCCGGCCTAGCCATCTACGATACCATGACATACATCAAGTCGCCAGTGTCGACCGTCTGCGTTGGCGCCGCCGCCTCCATGGCCGCCGTCCTCCTTATCGGCGGCGAGCCCGGGAAGCGGTACGTGCTGCCTCACAGCACGGTCATGGTGCATCAGCCTCTCGGCGGCACCCGGGGCCAGGCGTCGGATATCTTGATCTATGCGAACCAGATCCAGAGGATAAGAGAGCAGATCAACAAGATTGTGCAGTCGCATATCAACAAGTCGTTTGGCTACGAGAAGTACGACCTCGCGGCCATTAGCGATATGATGGAGAGAGACAAGTATTTGACGGCGGAGGAGGCGGTGGAATTGGGCGTTGTCGATCAGATTCTCGATAGGAGGGTGAAGGACGAGGCGGAAAAGAAGGCGAAGGATGGCGAGACACCGGCGCCGCAGCCGTGAGCTTGAGTCTCATATTGAGATATCCATGGCGGACAATATGTGATGCGCCTATCTTAGCAAAGCGGCATTGAACGACATTGACAGCGGCCCAGATGTCAGATCAGTGCCTACGGTCGAATACCGGCCGAAGAATGATGGAACGAATGGTGCATGGCAGAGGCATGGCATTTCCGGGGACAGCCCATCTTCAGTTCCGATGACGGAAGCTTGACATTTAAGAATGCGGGTCCCGAGTCTCATAGCGCATGTGGTGGAGCCTGTCTGAGTAAGCCCGGTGGACGGTAAGCCAGCTTCGATACCATGGTTTACATGTTTTTTTTGAAGCAAATGAAGCCATTGAAAGTTGATACGGTGATGGCAATGGAGGCCCAATTTCTTACATTTCTCCCAATGTTTTCTTTTCCACTTTCTGTGGTTCATCGCAAGCTTTTTGTTCAGACACGTCACGGCACTCGCTGAAGTGTTCAATAACATACTATGGTGAGATGGGTAAGTAAAACCCGTGGGTGAGCTTTGAAGCTTTTTGCGGGGTAGACGTGGGACTTGGCGGTAACCCCCCTGTGGCCAGTGACTCGTATTTTGTGTCCCGCCTGGACGCCGACTTCGCCCAAGCCTTGCCCGGAAACTGAAAGAAACGAGTCGCCTCTCTCCGGCTCCGTAGCTCGTCCCAAGTCTTCCTCTTGATCTTGTTTCTGTTTGTGATTCTCTCCCCTTTCCACCCTTTCCTTCTGCCAGCGATTCCTTGCACGGCAGCTCTCCCCTCCTCACATCATGCTCGCTCCCTCCCTTCTGCGGGCTCAGGCCCCCAGAGCTCTGGCTTCTGCCCGTCTCTCCCTGTGAGTTTTGACCGACAACCTTGATGTCCAAGCAAAAGTGAAGCTATTCAGACCGATACTGACCAAGCTCTTCCCCCCTCCAGCCGCTCCCTCTCCACCACTCCCCGCCGCTACAATGCCCAGGAGAAGCAGCTCAACAAGGTATCTGCCCACATCACCCAGCCCAAGTCCCAGGGTGCTTCCCAGGCCATGCTCTACGCCACCGGCCTCAACGAGGACGACATGAACAAGGCCCAGGTCGGTATCTCGTCTGTCTGGTATGAAGGCAACCCTTGCAACATGCACCTTCTCGACCTCTCCGGCCTCGTCAAGGAGTCCGTCGCCAAGGCTGGCCTCGTCCCCATGCGCTTCAACACCATCGGTGTCTCGGACGGTATCTCCATGGGTACCACCGGTATGCGCTACAGCTTGCAGTCGCGTGAGATCATTGCCGATTCCATCGAGACCGTCATGAACGGCCAGTGGTACGACGCCAACATCTCCCTCCCCGGTTGCGACAAGAACATGCCCGGTGTCCTCATCGCCATGGGACGTGTCAACCGCCCCTCCATCATGGTCTACGGTGGTACCATCAAGCCCGGCTGCAACATGAAGGGCGAGAACATCGATATCGTCTCCGCCTTCCAGGCCTACGGCCAGTACATCTCCGGCGAGATCGACGAGAAGCAGCGCTTCGATATCATCCGCAACGCCTGCCCTGGTGGTGGCGCCTGCGGTGGTATGTACACTGCCAACACCATGGCCACCGCCATCGAAACCCTCGGCATGACTCTTCCCGGTTCCTCCTCCTTCCCCGCCGAGTCTCCTGAGAAGAAGAACGAGTGCTTGAGCGTCGGTGAGGCCATCAAGAACCTCCTCCGCGAGGACATCCGCCCCACCGATATCCTTACCCGCCAGGCCTTCGAGAACGCCATGATCGTCGTCAACATTCTCGGTGGTTCCACCAACGCCGTCCTCCACTTGATCGCCATCGCCGACTCCATTGGCATCAAGCTCACCATCGACGACTTCCAGGCCGTCTCCGACCGCACCCCCTTCCTTGCCGACCTCAAGCCTTCCGGCAAGTGGGTCATGGAGGACCTCAGCAAGATTGGCGGTACCCCCGCCCTTCTCAAGTTTCTCCTCAAGGAGGGCATCATCGATGGCTCCGGCATCACCTCGACTGGTAAGACCTTGAAGGAGAACGTCGAGAAGTTCCCCGACTTCCCCAGCGACCAGACCATCATCCGCCCTCTGTCCAACCCCATCAAGGAGACCGGCCACATCCAGATCCTCCGCGGCTCCCTTGCCCCCGGCGGTTCCGTTGGCAAGATTACCGGCAAGGAGGGTCTCCGCTTCGAGGGCAAGGCCCGCTGCTTCGACTACGAGGACGGCTTCATCGAGGCCCTCGAGCGCGGCGAGATCAAGAAGGGCGAGAAGACCGTCGTCGTCATCCGCTACGAGGGTCCCAAGGGCGGTCCCGGCATGCCCGAGATGCTCAAGCCTTCGTCCGCCATCATGGGCTACGGTCTCGGCAAGGACGTTGCCCTCATCACCGACGGCCGCTTCTCCGGCGGTTCTCACGGCTTCCTCATCGGCCACATTGTGCCTGAGGCCATGGAGGGTGGCCCCATCGGCCTCGTCCGCGATGGCGACACCATCATCATCGACGCCGAGAAGAAGGTCCTTGACCTTGAGGTTCCCGAGGAGGAGCTCGCCAAGCGCCGCAAGGAGTGGAAGGCTCCTGAGCCCAAAGCTAAGCGTGGTACTCTCAGGAAGTACGCCCAGCTCGTCAAGGATGCCAGCTCCGGCTGCGTCACTGATGCTTAAGGTGCAGTATGCTAGGGTGTGAGCAAAAGGAGGAAGGGAATGAAAAAGGGATATAAAGGGGATTATGATATCATTATACCGGAGTTTCTGTACATATTTTTGTAAATTCGGGCATTTTTCTTCGTGTTACTTTACGGTAAAAGATTTTTTTCTGGAAAATGGGAGGTAGGCGCTTATTGACGTTTCGTGCAATGTTGGCCTGGGTAATACAAGGATTTGAAGCTTGAATGAGCCGTTCGTTGCTGTGCTCCGGTGAACGTTGTTCTGTGTGAGATCCTACTCTAATCATGCGTGGTCTCCTGATTATCACTATACTACTCGACTCACCTCACGACACTTTTTTCTAATACCGCTTTCCTCTCCAGCCGTTGGCTTCGTCTATAACAAGTGCTTTTAGGCCTGTCTGCTTATTTTGTTAAGGAGACAGTTATGATTGACTCAGACAACCAGCCGACCATTGTGACCCATGTTCGGGTGCTCTGAGGATTTTGTGGATGGTCCCAAGTGGAAGCAGTACAAATCATTGCTACTTAACGACCATGATGACCTTCAATGAACACATACTACCATACCCACTGGAAAACTCGGGATCGATCCCGTCCGCTCTCCCATAGATAAGCCAGTGAGGGTCAGACTACTCGTCAGGTCTAGAAGCGACTCTGACCCTTTCCGCCAGGAAAGGGTCAGGCAGCGCAATTAGCAAAAATCAGGGCGATTAGCAAAATTTTAGTATACATTACCCGCCTGCAAATTTCCTACCAAATGGAGGTAGCGCGGTATAACTCCATATCGCTGAATAGGGTAAAGCCATTCACACATTAATTCCCAACCACGGAACCCATGCATCCAAAATGTAATCACGAGCGATTGTGCGCCTTTTCTTTCTATATCTAATAATACTTTTATCTTTTTCATATCTTTTACTTTGGTGGTGCAAATCAAATTGCAATGTGACTTTGTGTTTTTGGACGTTCTGGCATATGTACGAGATGTACGTGGTTCTACTGGATTAGTGCATATTGCTTGTATGCACGTGGTGGGAGGCCAATTTTCCCGCTGCTACAACCCTAACCCCAGATTCTTTTGCTAATCGCCCTGATTTTTGCTAATTGCCCTGGCTGACCCTTGCCTGGCGGCAAGGGGAAGACGATTCTAGTCCTGACGAGTATTCTAGTAGTTGGGTCGGTGACGACCAGCGAATCCCTGGTGTTGTATGTTTTTTTTCTTCTTTTTTTTTTTCCTCTTTTCGCGTTTGTCTTTTCCTCAATCATTTATTTTAATTTCGGATCTTCCTTATCATGTGTCTTTGGTTCTCCTTCATTGAAGAATTTCCCACCACATCATGACGGGATGTTGCGTATCGTACCATGAAACCAAGATACTAGAACAGGTAGACCCATTCGATTCTGCAAAAGCACCTCCCAACCTCCTGGCGAGACCGGCAAAGTGGTGATTATCACAGTGATTCGGAGTGTCACGTAAAGTAATGAATGCTTGGTTTTCCAATGCCCGGTAGAAATATAACAGCTCCTACTCGCAATGCTATGCCGAACTATACCCATAGCATCCTCATTAATCTCGTAAACCGTCCTCATAAGTCACACGTCTATACATCAATCCATCCACCTGTCCCGCACCATCTAGAATTACCTCCTCCTCTTCTCCCAAGCCTTCACAAAATTCTTCTTACCCTCCACCGTCAACCCAACCCTCTTCGCCCTACCCAACCTCGCCAACGTCTCCGCCACTTTATCCAAAACCCTCTGCTCCTCCGCCGTCAACTCTCCATCCCCATCCTCTCCCTGTCTTCCACGGACGCCGTCAACCCCCGAACTTTCACCATGCGAAACACCATTGCTAGCCCCCACCGTATTCACCACCCCCTCGCCAATGCGAATCCTAATACAATGCGTCGGCCTAGCCAGCAACTTCCACAGGAACCCCCACCACACCTTCACTCCCCCAGGAACCGGCGTGGTGTCGTCCACAGGTGTATACCGCAAGCTCAAGGGGAAAATCTGCGTCGAGCTCGGAACGGTAAGCAGCGAAGGGCTCAGCGGCAAGATACCCTTTCCATTCGTAGTCGCGCACTCGGGAAACACGGCAATCGCTCTAGTCGGGTATTCCTTCAGCAACTTGGCAATCGTCGTCAACTTTTCGTTTTGTCCGGGTCCACCCAACAACTGGCGCGGGCTGAGCGCGAGGGTTACAGCCTGCCAGAGCGAAAGTTTCCGCACGAGCCGGGAGCCGGGGAAACTCTGCACAAAAACACAATCCCACACCGCCGCCAAGTAAACCGCATCCAACGGACTCGTAAAGTTCGCCGCGATCACCGTGCCCGCGCGCGGGATGCGAGTGGGGGGTTGTTGAGAAAGCGAGCCGCGCTTGACGCCGTCGAGTTGCAGGTCGGACCACCAGGTTCCCGTGAGGGCGAAGATGCCCCATAGCAGAAGCTTGCGGAGGGGAGAAGGTAGGAGTGGGAGGAGGAGGAAGTAGGTGGTGGTGTAGAGGAGGAAGAAGGGGAGGCGGAGCAGGAAGATTAGGGGACCAAATAGTCGGGAGGGAAGGGAGGATTCGGGCGCCGGGGAGGGCATGAAGGGGGAGATGCCGGAGCCTGTTGAGGGGAGAGTGGTTAGTGGGAGGCTGGAGATGGGAGAGGGGGAGGGAGGGATGGAGAAGGGGGGGAGGCTTACCGCGGTCGCGGAATTGGGAGAATTTCTCCATTTTTATTGTTGTTCGTGGGTATGTCGCTGTGAGGTCGGGATGTAAGTGTATAGGTTTGCGATCGGTAATAAATGGATGGCCGCGGATGGTGTCGCGACGAAAGCTGGACAGGCAATTCGCGAGAGCTGATTGTTGTCGATCGAGCGCTTTTGGAACGCGAAAGTGGCCGGTGTTTGTAGATCGAAGAAGAAGGAGTCGCGCCGCTTGCGCGATGGCGGGAAAGGTGAGGCCGGCTGCGGTTTCAAGTTGGTTGGACTGGAAGGAGATCCAGAGCTTTTGAGTTTGGAATCTGGCAACAACGACGTCAGGGGGGTCAAGCTGTTATCAGCGACTTTTTGGACCCTTGCGACTCCGACTTGCGGACATGTGAAGAGGTGGTCTGTGCGTTGTTAGTCACCCTGCCAAAATATCACCCTGTTGACCTGATCATCGCTAGCTAGAATGACTGGACATGATTGCAATATTATCTACGATATTTGGGTGTTGAAAACAATCTCTGCGAAACAAATCAAAAAAGAAGAGCTCCAACCCCGAGAACGACAACTTCAACTGCTTCGGTGTAGCACAGCACAAAAAGAGAAAAAAGAGTTGAAACGAGGAAAAAACACATACAACACCAGGGATTCGCTGGTCGTCACCGACCCAACTACTAGTCTGGCCCTCACTGGCTTATCTATGGGAGAGCGGACGGGATCCCGAGTTTTCCAGTGGGTATGGTCGTATGTGCTTATTGTTCCCCTTGGGTATGTTGATAAACCAATTGGGGGGCAAAGGGGGAGGTGATGCTTTGGGATGCTGGTGAGCGAGATGCCGCAGGGGGTAAGGTTGAAGTGGGAAATCTGAACAGATAAAGATATCGATGTGATAAAACCAAGCTCATTCCAATATGAAGTGGATCCAGAAGGAATACATAAGAAAAATATGATAGAGAAGGTGTGAAGATAAACGAATAAATCTCTACATAATTAATTTCGGTGATGTCAGATGCGTAAACGTAGAGCGAGCTCGATGCCGTCGTCAAGTTTTGTATCTTTTCTTTCTTTACCATAGGACAACATCGAAGATTTGGCGTTTCATCCCAGAAGATACCGTGTCGTGTTTGTGAATGAAGATTACGAACCAATGCCTGGGAAATGTTGAGTGAGAGTAAAGTTCATATATCATCATGCTCTCTTCAAGGGACGTGGAAGTTGTCAAGTTCAACATGGAACATTGGAAGGTCGGGACAATGAAGACCGAAAGGAGAGCGCATGTCTTGGCGCTGCAAAGAATGGTCTAGCGCAAGGTACAAACGGTACGTACCCTCCCATGGTCTAAGGTGGCCCCTGCACACTGTGAGCCCCGCCCGCCCGCTTGCTCGAGGTCGAACGATTGGCCACAGCGCTGGAGAGAAACGGTTGCTGTGGTGAAGTAAACAAACCGATGCAGGGCCAGGACTGGGCCCAACTTGCAAGTCCCACTCGACCGCTTGTACGCCAATCGACGCTCTGGAGCCCCGGGCACGCCGTCACTGAAAGTGCATGACCGAAGAGCACAACGGCTTTCACAACGGCGCCATCACTGTCCTCGACATCTGGGGCGTTGCTGCTCGGCTCGTGTGTGCTGGTGAACAACATCATCCCTCGCATGCGCACGCTCACCATGGAGAGCTCCGAGAACAGGGTACGTTGTAAAACACTCTGTCTTGATTGTTTAACCCCCTTACAAGCACTGCAGTGCGATAAGATGGAGAAGCGGCCTGCTGATATCGAAAATTGTAGAACGCCCTTAACCCAGCCTCGACCAAGTTGCGACTTCCAACCACCTACGCCGCCACGGCCCTCGCGACTGCTTCCACCGGCCTCAAAGAGATCTCCGACTCCCAGAGCAACGCGCGAGCGCAAATGTCGTCCATACCCACAAAGCGCGCCGCACACGACAGCGGTGGTAAGACATCCCCTCCACCTGCTTCTTCTTGTTCCATAAGCCAGATCAAACACCACCACATACATCATGGCTTTGTCCATGCCATTGTCGATGGCCTTGATGGCTGACACGCGATGTTCTTCAGTCGCCCCGCCTGATCCGAAACGAAAAACCCTTGCCGAGAGGGCTGGCGAGCCTATCCAGCCCAAGTCACAGTTACCAGCCCCGACGCCCACCAGTGCCTTTCTCACGGGCACTGTATCCGGCGCATCAATCGTCCAGTTAGCTAATGTAGGTCTTGCCATCCGTCCATCAGCACGATACATCCGAATCATGTTTACTCTCGTCGAACTGAATCATCGCGACAAACCCGGTTACCTACCATAACACAAATCCAATACTGCCGCGTGACATACAGCCCCTATGCTTTTCGAGAGATGGCCACTTTGGGATCAGTCAAGCGCATCGATATGGCCCAGGCCGGTTCTAACTTAACGTTTCTATAGGCCCGGAATGCGAACAAGACGACGACAACAGCGCTCCCGCGCGCAAGCTCGGCGACCGGTCATCGGCCAACCTATTCCTCGACAAACCCGTCCAACTTCGCAAAGAGCCTAGGTCCTTCGAGCCGACCACCTGTGACAGGATTGCGACAACCCAGCTTCAGTCAGTCCACATCAAATCGACAACGATCCATCTCCAAGCCACGACCAGCGACATCGATGAGCAGCCATGGACCTTCGAGAGACGTTAGTGTAGCGCCTAATCAGCCAGCGCCTACCCAGCCGCCCAATGGTACGGAATTTCCATCTTCTATACCCATCCCCGGACCCAAAGCCAAGCCCAAGAAGACAAGACCATCTCCCTCGCCTCGATCTTCAACGTCGGGCACAGAGAAAGAGAAGGGAAGGACCATCTCGGGTCTGAGCAGGCGCATGCAGGACTTGTCAATATGTGATGAGAAGGAAAACACCCCCAGCGGGAGTCAAGTGACGCCTCGAAAGACTTCGCAGCCCGCCTCCACGGCGTCTTAGTCGGATGCCAAGGCGGAGCCTGTTAAACGCAGACGAGGGACCGAAGGAGCCGAACCTGCACGACGCAAGTCCTCTCTCCGACAGTCAACAGCGGCGTACCCGGAGACCCCCAAAGCCAAGTCGAGAATGGAAGACCCCCGTGCGGCTATGGAGCGGTTCGACGTCATTCTCAACTCTGCCGTCGTCTCCGCTCATAAAACTGCCTCGACCCGAAAATCCGTTTCACCTGTCAAGCTTTCTTTTCTCACCAAGGACTCTAATAACACCGCATTCACAGGCATAGACGTCGACGAGCGGCTCAACGAAGTTGACGCGGAATGGAAGGTGATGAAGGAGGCTTTCAACATCTCTTTGCAAGACAAGAAGGCTATGGAAACGGCCGTTCAGATGGCAAAGAGTCAAGGTACGTGGCAGCGAGTATCCTAACATGACAGGACTGGCTAACACCCACTAGTGGACACGCTTGAACTGGAGCGACAAAAACTGAACGAGAGGAACGAACTCTTACAGAAGGAGATGGATGCCTTGCGACAGCAGTTCCAACAACTGACCCTCACACTCGAAAGACAGAAGATGGACCATGAATATCAACTTCAGAACAAGTCAAGAGAGCACGAACATGAAGTCAAAGAACTACAGAGAAAGTTGAGAGACGAAAGCGAACGACTGCAACGAATCAACCGCGAGGAAAAGGACGCTTTCGAGAGGCAATGTCGGGCAGATTTGGAGGGGGAAAAGGCAAAGGCGGCAAAGGAGGTCCAAGATCTGCAACAGAAGCTTGGGGCGGAACAGCAAGACATCAACAAAACCCTCCTAGAAAGAGAACGAGAGCTACGGCAACTACAGTCTCAATTGGACGATCTGCGGTCAGAACTCAGCCAGGAACAGAGGAGCAAAAGGGCGTTGCAGGAACAGATCAGCGAGATGGCGACAACCAATGGGAAACTGGAGGCCCGGAACCAAGGACTCAGGGCGCAGATTGACTTCCTTGAATCCGATAGCAAGCAACAGTCGGATTCGTTTGCGCAGATGGAGGCACGGCTCCGGGAGGCCCTGGAAATCGCGGAAAACGCCAAACAAAAGCTCATCAAGGAGGAGACCGAGAGGCGGATACTGTTCAATAAGTACCAGGAGCTAAAAGGCAACATCCGGGTCATGTGCAGAGTCCGCCCTGCACTCAGCAAAACCGAAGGCAACGAGGCCAAGATTATGTTCCCCGACGCGAAAACGTCGTCCGCACAGATCGAAGTGACCGGGCTCGAGGAAAAGAGTAGCTTTGGAAACATCAACCGCAAGGTGCTCCCCTTCGAATTCGACCGTGTCTTTGCCCCGGCAGTACACAACGAAGAAATCTTCGACGAGATCTCCCAGCTGGTACAGAGTGCGTTGGACGGCTACAACGTGTGTATCTTCTGCTACGGCCAAACCGGTTCCGGCAAGACGTACACCATGTCGTCTCCAGATGGCATGATCCCGCGAGCCACCCACATGATTTACGATACCATAACGAAACTTAGGGAGAAATCGTGGACGTACACCATGGAGGGCAGTTTCGTTGAGGTATACAACGAAGAGCTGCACGATCTGCTCGACGGCAGCAATAACAGCAAGAAGAAACTCGAGATCCGCCACGACGACGTTCGCAAGCAGACAACGGTACTCAACTGCAAGACCGTCGCCCTCGACTCGGCCGACAAGGTGGAGATGATGCTGAAGCAGGCGCAGAACAACCGCAGCGTGGCGGCCACCAAGGCCAACGAGCGGTCTTCGCGCTCCCACTCTGTCTTCATCCTCAAGCTTGTGGGCGAGAACTCGGTCACGAACGAGCGATGCGAAGGCACTTTGAACCTAGTCGATCTGGCAGGTTCTGAGCGGCTGAAGCATTCGCAGGCCGAAGGAGAGCGGATGAAGGAGACGCAGAACATCAACAAGAGTTTGGCGTGCTTGGGGGATGTTATCGAGGCGCTGGGAAGAGGGTCGTCACACGTGCCGTACAGGAACTCCAAGTTGACGCATCTGCTGCAGTATTCGCTGGGAGGAAACTCGAAGACGTTGATGTTCGTTATGGTGAGCCCGCTGGAGGCGCACCTGAAGGAGACGATTACCAGCTTGAGGTTTGCTACCAAGGTGAGTCATTGCGGCCCGTCCCTGGGGAGATGTGTGGCACAGTGGTGTGGTAGGACATGATGCTAACGTGATGGTGATACTGCAGGTGCATAATACCCATATCGGAACGGCGAAGTCTACGAAGAAGACCATCAAGGATCGCTCGAGCGAGTCTTGATTCGATGATGATCCCGGTTCCGTCTTTAGCGGCTGTACTTTTCTACGATTTCTGTACATTCTTTATCTTTTACAGATGCAATTAGTCTCTCTACATGTGTATCTTTTGGGTTGGTCATTTTTCCGGGCCTGCTGTCCACGCTTGCCTCGGCTGGAGAAAGGGAGCGACTTAAGAGGGAAGGATGGGTGGATGGATGGACGGCCGGGACTGTTCTTATTATATGATACCAATGAATCGTTTGTTGCACCCTACTCACAATGCTAGCTAACCTGGTGGCGGCTTAAGAATGATCGGAGTTCCCTCCGGTACAACGCACAATGGCAACGAACATCGTGCCTAGGCAACTCAAAAATCCAAGTACCGCAACCAAGAGCTCATTACCGCAACCGGCAGCTTCTCGCCATTGAGCTGTAAGGTTTCGGAGCTTCCTCCGATTGGGAGTCAAGCTGAGCTTTCAACATTCGGCCAGCCAATACGTACCGGGCTGGTTGACACAACAATGACTAACACGCTCGTACGGACGCCCGATCGATGGTACCGGACCGGCGTTCCATAAGCGGGCTAGACTCCGGACGCCGAATGGAAGTGTGACGGCAGTGGCCGATCTGGAAGCGGCTCGCCGCCGGCGTATGTAACAACAAGCTACTAAGTGAATGGTCTTCACAGTTCACGGAAGTCATCGTTAGTGGTCAATTACAGCGGCAGCCCTCTAAATCGAGTAGTGCGAGATGCAATACTACCTACCTGAAATGGAATGATGGAACGTTTATAACAGTCATAGGCAGTTATTTACAGGGAGGATGGCTTTCCAGAAGGCGATGACTCTTCAGTTGTTGTTTTCCTTCTTCTGGGAGTTGCGCAGCAGGGGAATTTCCAAATCGTCTTAGTCAAGCCTTATGGTGATTGATACAATTGCCTATCTTCGCTAGTTGCACCCATTGTTCTCGCTATCACATGCTTTCAACGGAGATCCCCATAGTAGGTAGCTCAAGCTATCTCGAACTCACCACGCAAGCCACACGGGCAGCCACCCCCTCATCAACGAACAAAGGGAAGCATCACCCAATTCCTCGGTTCAGTTACATACAACCCTAGTTTTACTCAATCACGGTTGGTGTAGCTATTGTTCTCCATCACCTCCACCATAAAACAATACTAGGTAAACTTTTCAAACTTTCCGAGCCCCCCCCCCTACCGCACCTAGGTCTACAGGGTACTGTAGCATAGTACGTACAGCCGCACCCACCACCACGGCATCGGTTTTTTACTGCATGTTCCGTACCACTTAGACCAATTCGCTGCCAACTTGACGAAGATCGGTCAGCGATCAGTACCAACTTCTGACGGGGATTGTGACTCCTACCCAATTTGCTGCGGTGGGATAGCTAGCCACCACCATGGAGGATTGCCTCGGAGATGGAGGAGGAGGAGGGGAAGGGTGACTGAAGATGGCGTTGCTGACTCACTCACCAAGTCAACGAGGATTAAGCCGTTCAATTTTCCTGATATAAAAGGAGGAGGAGGAGCCAAGAACTTCTTGTTTCTTCTCTACCACCAAGCTTCGTCAGTCCCGACTCATACTTACGAATCTGGACTTACGAGTCTGTCTGACAATGCTCACCTTCCTAGTTGAGCAACAGTTGGGACTAGTTGATGTAAGACCGGATACAACACGGACACAACACGACCATCAGATAACACATACACTCCTTCCTGCTTGTCTTGCCTCTTCAGCTCTTGTCATCCATCATCAGACATATAACCAGCCTCGTTCTTCATCTTTCCTCCTGGGATTGGCCAATATCTTCTATCAACATCTCAACGTTGACCCAACCCAACCCAACCCAACCCATCTTCAAAATGTCCACCACCACCACAACCCCCTACTCCCCCACCCTCCTCAACGCCTGGCGTTCCCCCCGCCTCATCTACCGCGCCATCGAAGATAACCCCATAGACCGCCACACCCTCTGGACCTTCGTCGACAACGACCCGACCGCAATCGCCATGTCCTCCCTGCGTCCCCTCAACCCTCAACCCATAACCTTCGGCCAACGGCTCTACGAACACGCTCACATGCTGCACATCCGCGCCTTCATTTGCCTGCCGCCCACGGACTCCGACATTGCTCAGTGGGAGGCCTTGATTCAAGAGAAGGCTGAGAAGAGCGGGCTGACGGCGACGTTGGATGTGGAGAAGCTGAAAGGCGAGTTCCCCAGACCGGAGGCGAAGCCGATTGGGGTCGTGACGCTGATGCCGCCTATGGGTGGGGATCAAGAAAGACATCATCGGAATGCGATGATTGGTGTCGGGATTGCGATGGAGTGGAGGGGAAGGGGTTATGGAGGGGAGGCGGTGGATTGGGTTTTGGATTGGGGGTTTGGGAGGTTGGGATTGCATCGGATTTGGTTGGCGGCTTTTGAGTATAATGAGAGGGCGTGTAGGCTGTATAGGAAGTTGGGGTTTGTGGAGGAGGGGAGGGAGAGGGAGGCGGTGTTGTATGAGAAGCGGTGGTGGGATATGGTTCGGTTTGGCATGTTGGAGGGGGAGAGGGAGGCGTTGAGGGCACAGCAAAAGGAAGCTAAGGCCTAAGGGTGAGAAGGGGGAGGGTGGAAAGATGGAGGAGTGATGGGTGATGAATAATGAAGAGATGAAGTGATGAACTGTTGGAAATTGAGAGGCATGAGAAAGGATATAACAATGGGATACAAGAAGTGTGCTGGTTTGTTCCATGGTTTGGAGATTTTTTTTTTTTCAATTTGGCTTTTGTTACCTGACAAAAGCCCACTTGGGGGATATACGCCTTGTGTATGTCGTGAGACATTTTCATAGACAGATAAAACCTCTGATATAAGCCGTCAACGCCGTTTCCTTACTCCCTTATAAGCCCAACAAGTCGTAGAAGTCATATTCGGACCGAACAATATGACATCGCGCCTATCGGTCCAAATCCGCAAGAATCCAGAACCAAACGCCCCTATATCTCCTCCAAACAAGCTAAAATGCCAGTGAAACCCTGTAACCCGGAACAGAGAAAAGATCATACGCACTCGACGAGCCAAATATGCCACCTAGCAAAAACATAGAGAAGGGGGGTATCCGCAATGCGCCTGCAAAGAAAAGGAGGGATCGGTCGGTAACGGATGTTTCTCTCGTCCCGTCGATATTACCATTTCTGCGACGCCCAAAGATGTTTCGCTTGGCGGACCGATTTGCTCTACTCGTCGTCGTCCTCATCCTCGGCAGCTTCCTCTTCGTCGCTGGTAACGTCAATGTTTGACTTGCGGGGCTTCTTCTCCTTCTTGTTGTTCTCCTTTTTGGACTCCAGCGCCTTGACCTTGGGAGACTCGACGGGGGCGTCGGTCTGCTCGGCCACCTCGGCAAACTCTGGGTCCTCAATGGAGTGGCCTTGCTTACGAAGGTCGGTGTTGAGCTGCGGGATGATCTTGAGGAGGTTTTGGTACTGGGCCAGTGAGAGGGAGATACCCTGGCGGTGGGGTTAGTCGACTGGTGAGTGTGAGAGATGAGTGATAGGAACAGCTCACCTTCTTGCCTGGCATCAGCTTGCCGTTAGCATCGTAATATTCGCGAATATTGACCAGAGTGGTATTCTTGAACACCGAAGAACTAATTCGGCGGTTGTTTCCAAGCTGTTGAGGATGTCAGCTTGACTTCATCTACAAGATAAAGGTGATGACTTGGTAAACGAACCTCCCAGAAGGTGTTGCCGTCTTGGTCGGATCCCTTGGTAAGCTCCTGAGGCTGAGCCTTTCCGGTATTGCCCTTGGACTTCTTGGTGTACTGAGGCTCAGCATCGCTGGTGTCCTCGACCTGTCTTCTTTTGGGAGGCATGTTGACTGTTGAGAGGTGTAACCTTGTAGATGGAGTGATACTCCGAGTGAGCGATTGGAAAGAGGAAACAACAGCGAACTTGGTGAGATGCCGCGAGATATTTCACACAATTTAAAGTGAGGTATTTGTAAAGTGTAAAATGAGCGACTGGCGACTTGGGAAGACACAAGAAGAAAAGTCAACGCGGCAAGCAAACGCAGTGACGTCGATGGTGTCTCCCTTGATATCGACGCGACCACACGTGAACTGAAGCTTCGTGGAGGGGTCACTGTTGTAATTGTTAGTGCATTTGTTAGTGCAACCTAAGTTAGTGAATGTCAAGGTCAACAGGGCAGTCTTGGCGCTTGGCAGCCAGCCCTGTAAACGTGCACTGTGCAGAATCTGGACCCCAAATGGAAGGGGGCGGACAGGGGGTCTGCATTTTCTGGGCAGCTGTCAAGGACACAAGTGGAAGCTCCAACCCCCGGGCGCTAGAAAGGCTCCGTACGGGGCCCGGGGTGGAAGAAGCCCGTTGAATCCGGGGCAGTGTGGGCAGATCCCCCTGAAAATGTTACCACTACGGTGCCTGGAAAACCACAGAGACGAACGATTGTTGAGGAATGGCTGGGGGAACAGGGACTTCGCTCGCACCAGACTTCTCGAAACACAACATGATTGACGTCTCATTTCCCACTTGTTCCTATTTCTAATTCTTTTGTCCCACGGACCTTACCCCGACTTTGACCACGATCTGCTCGCCGCGCGGCCTGTCCTTTTTCCTTCCCTATAAGACATAAGACGAACGGCTACTAGAAGCTCCACGACTTGTCATCCATTGTTCCCGTCGTCTCCCGCCTTTGCGACCGTGCCCATGAAACGACTGACGACAACGACTCCATGATCCTTCCAAATACTTCTGCCCTACCGACCGATCCTGGCGTACTATAACAACCGATTTTAATGACCGACAAAGATGCGCCCACTCCGGGCGCCATACCCGATGCTATGAGCTCCCCCACGACTAAAGACCCCGTTACCGCCGATCCCGTTCCGCAAGCGAAAGCAGATAACGACTACTTCCATGACGAGACGAAAGGCGGTGGAGGATTCTCTTCGGCCGCCTCGGATACAACATCCACAACCACCAACAAGGAGGAGGACCTAGCAACACAAGCTTTCCGCTTTCTGGCTACCGCAACACCCGGGACCCTCGGCGGAGTTGCTGTCGGCCTCGGCGCAGTTACATACTTCGTACTAGGTCCTCTCGGACTTGTCTTAATAGGAGCATTTGGTGGTGTCGTCGGCTATATACAATGGGAGCAGCGCAACGCCGAAGTAGCTCGGGCCCTCAAGGGAGAAAAGGGCGTGGACCTTATCGCGAGGTTATTGGAGACCAAGACAAAGGCCGAGGTTGAACAAGACGCCGACAAGCAAGAAGCTGCATTAGCACTCCGCCTTGAAGACTTCCAGCCCGAAACCCGTGAAGCCATCAATGAGATAATCGACGCCGTCATCAGCGGATATGTCAAGTGGTGGTACTCCCCGCTTGTGCCCTCGGACAAGTTCTTCCCTCTGGCCTGCAAGAGAACTCTGACCTCCTTCATTCTCGCCATTTCCAACCACCTCAAGAGGAAACGACCAGCGGACGCCTTTCTGGATTTCTTGACAAATTCCTCTTCTATCGTCATTGTCTTCCTCTCCGAGCTCACCAATGCATTTGCCGAGTTTCCTGCAGACGTCAAGGTCTCGGCCGCCGATGCCTTGTACACCTATCTTGCGTCCTACCCCGACTCGAACCTTGCGCAACTGCTCAACAAGAGACAGCAGGCCGGCAAGTTTAGGATGGTTGCTGAGGACCTGCTGGCCTTCTTGGATAAGCCCACCTACGAATGTGATCCTGCCAGAGTGTTCCTGAGGGAAATCCTGGCTGGAGTCGTCCTTGAAATGACGCTCCAGAACTGCTGCAAACCCGAGTGGATCAACTCGTGGATAGTCTATTTGCTAGAGGAGGGTGAACCGGACTTCAGCCAAGCTATTGACGAGGGCATGCAGACTGGTCCTGCTGCCGCTGCCGCTGCCGCTGATGCTACCTTTGCCGATTTTGACGGAAACGTGGGCAACATTGGTCTCACCACAGGAAACAGGAACTCTTTCGAGACGGAGAAGGTGCGCCGGAAGGAGTCCATTTCCATGTCCCACAAAAAGAAGCTCAGCAAAGCCGATGAAGAGGTGGAACTCATGGAAGAGATGAAGAAACTCAACCAAATGATTGCCGAACAAGAGTCAAAACGAGACAAGGAGGCCAAGGATATTATGGCCAAGTCAGGTTCAGTGCCTCTACAGCAAACAGTCGTGGCGGAAGAGCCGGATCAGTTTGCCGATGCGTTCAAGCGCAGTTCTGAGGAGCACCAACTTGCCGTGCAACCGATTGCGGCCCGTACCCAACCCGAATCAAAGGGTTTAACGTCAAGCAATGTTTCTAGCGGCACTTCCAAAACACCTCTAACGCCTCTTTCTGGGAAGAGCTCCCCGACACCTGAGGAGGCATCGTCTCGGCCTGCGGGGCCCTCTCGATTTACCAGCTTTGACCAAATCGTCCCTCCTGCTCGGGCAGAGACCCCGGTCGAAGAGGAACGGCCCAAGCCACCACCTTTGACATTGCATAACGCTAATATTACTATTCTGGACGAGCCGGGTGACCGCAATCTTGGCTCAAAGCCTGGGTGGGATTATCTCGTACAGATCGAGCCTGCCACCTCGATTTACCCAGGTTGGATGATTGTGCGCAAATACCCCGACTTTGAGCGTCTTCACGAGGTCCTGCGCCGCATTGCTGCCATCTCTGGTGCCACCGAGTTCAACACTAAGCACAAAACGCTACCGCAGTGGAAGGGCGCTACCAGAAATTCGCTTCGGGATGAGCTGGAACGCTATGTAAAAGATGCCTGCTCTTATAAGCCGCTGGCGGAGAGCGAGGGCATGAAGAAGTTCCTAGAGAGGGATACAGCTAACATGCCTGTCCGGCCAAAGTCCGGATTCGAAGCTTTCGAGAAAATTGGAAAGGGCGTCTTTGACGTCATGACCAGTGCTCCGCTCGAAGGTTCTAAGGCCCTGGTGGACGGTTTTACCGGTGTTCTAGGGACTATCGGTCTCGGACACAAGAAGAACGCGGCTTCATCTGCAAGTGGAAATACGACGTCTGGCGCACCACAGTCCGCCCTTCAAGATGTGACTGCGGCTAGTCGTCTCTCCATGTCAACAATCCCCAGACCAGACAGTAGTGCTTCGCTGAATCGGATTCGTGAAAGCATCGACAGCCAACAATCCTCCATCATCTCTACGCAACCCAGCAAGGTCGACCCTATGGATCGTCGGACTAGCTGTGACTACCGCACCGAGGTAGAGTCAGCACGCTACGGGAGAACATCTGCGCGTCACAGTCGCGAGCAAAGCCGTGCATCTAGCCGAGCGCCGCCCTCCCTTCGTTCTCCATCATCGCTCAGTCTCACGCTCGAATCTCTCAGACTCCCTCCTCCGCCCGACATGATGCCAGACAACTACCAGGACTCTCCCGTCAGTCCCGCACCCAGCTCCCGCATTCACGACTACCCACCCCACCACGCCCGCTCCTTAACCATGCCCACCCTGAGCCCTGGCTCCCACTCGAGAAGCCAAAGCCGTAGTCCCGGACCCGGCGCTGCTCCCCTCCAGGGCTTCAAGTCCTACCCCAAACTCTCGGAGGAAGAAACCCGCGTGGCAGTGGAACTCCTCTTCGCAGTCGTCAACGAGCTCTACACTTTGTCTTCCGCCTGGAACTTCCGTCGAACGCTTCTCGCGGCTGCCAAGTCGTTCCTCCTCCGGCCGGGTAACCCCTCGCTCTCCTCGATCCAGTCACTCATCCAGTCGTCCGTCTTGGACGCGAACACCTCGGACGACGGGCTTGCAGCACACTTGCGCAAGCTGAGGGAGAACGCGCTCCCCACCGAAGAGGAGCGGGCGCAATGGCCTGGTGAGATGAGCGATGAGGAGAAGGAGAAGTTGAGAGTCAAGGCGAGGAAGTTGTTGATTGAGAGTGGAGTCCCCGCTGCTCTGTCGGGAGTCATGGGACAGTCGGCTACTGGGGAGGCGTTGGGACGGTTGTTTGATTGTTTACAGATTGAGGAGGTGGCGAGGGGTCTGATGTTTGGAATGTTGTTGCAGGCAGTGAGGACGGTTACACATTGAGTGCGTGCGGTAGTATGATGAAGATGAAAAGATGTTGATGACGAGATCTGAATGATATATAATAGACGGGATAGGGTAAACGGGTGGGATGGCTTAGATGGTTCGGCAACATGGGAAACGACCTAAGAGGACATAAAAGGGGGGAAAGACAACCTGGCCTCTTCCTCAACATGATGGAGGTCTCCGTACCCTAACCATCAAATCTTTTTTGGTACGGGCTGGCGACGACGAATATTGATATTGTAATTGGGTCCGCCCTTGTTGGTTGATGTACAGTAGTATGAGATATTATTAATGACAAGAACCGTGAACAAGAGGGACGACTGTCCTCAAGCTGAAGAAGGTATAGTTGCGCTTACTGCTCCATCCTTAGATGCCGACGTGGCTGTGCCACCTTGGCTCTGTTTTGGGGGTCGCTCCAACGACTACTCTTCAGTCGATCATCTTTCAATTGCATCGCGTTCCTGTCAGAGACAGCTAGTTATCATCGTCTATCAACCCTTTCTCAAGTGTTGGTTCTGCAGGAGATATCAACATGGAAGGTGACGCCATCATCACGGTGCCCAAACCCCAGCAGAAAGCCGCGGATGAAGATCAGACTACCCGCAAGGAACCACAGCCAACCGTACCTCTAGGCCAGCCTTCCACTCCCACCATACTCACGCTCCATCCGCCTCATCGATCTCGACCCAACCCCGCCGCAAACACAACAAAGAGCCCCAGATGATAATCATGATAGTGGGTGGGGTCCCTACTAAACTGACCGGCCGCCTCCGTGTAGTCTCACTACAAGACTCACCCTTTTTCACAGCCCTATCCTACGTCTGGGGCCCCTCACTTCCCTCGCGATCACCTGTATCGTATCAGCATCAGCACCACTACTACCTCTACCTCTACCTCTGGTTTTTAGGACTCACTTCAGGTGGGCTGAGCCACTTGTTAAGCTGCAGTTGGAGACCCTGGGCGCAAGGTGGTGACCTGTCTCGACTCGGCAAGCTTTTGAAGTGGCGAAAAAAGCGCGCTCTGCTGCAGATGAATGTTGATCGGGAAGAGGCGTGGGCTAGTTCGTTGAGTGATATCCTAGCTCGATGGTTTGTGGTCAAGGAGTTCAGGGAGCTGCGTGAGATTCTTGATCATTACAAAAAAAAAAAAAAAGATCTGATACCGCCGTCTTCGTCGAATCCGCAACCGGGGCTGTCTTCTGAGAGGAACGGTGGAGGAGGAACAAGTGCAGAGAACCACGACAATGAGGAAGGTTGGACGGACCGAATTGCTGCACGATGTCAAGGCGTACCTCGACCCGTGACGGCAGACTCTTCTCGATGGAGGCAGGGGGGCTTTTTGTCGTCGGTTTTGAAGGAGGCTAGCAACTGCTTACCTGTGCCAGCAAGTGGGAACAACGATGTTGATGAGGGCAATACTGGTTCGATTTTGGTTCCTTTGTTAGGGAAAGGGGAGAGGCTTGATCAGGCGAAATTTGAGGATGTGGTGCTGATTAGAGGTAATTGTCAAGATTTTGCCACATCAAGCAGGGAAAGAACGGGACAAGCACATCATCCTGGCGAGGATACCTACGCTATTTTGGAGGGGCGAATGATGGCGTGGAAGTTCCTTCCGTCTTTTTTTTCTCACTGCTGGCACACCAGCAAAATCTGGAGCTTGGGAAGGTACGAACTGTTGAACATGCCTGGGAAAAGTGACTCCCTGAGATTTTGGGGAGGGGAAGAAACCCGTCTTCATATTACCCGTTCTCTCCCTTTCTCTCCCTTCAATCCTCCCATTTTCGGTTTTGTTATCCCCTCAAATTCATCTTTCAAGACCACTGCCAACACAATTAGCAGACATGACGCATCTTCCAGAAGAATGGGCCCATAGGTCCTTTGCAGAGCGCCCAACTGTAGAGAAAAAGCTCACGCTAGCAGAGATCGACAAGAAAATCGAGGAACTTGCGAAGGGATTGGAAGAGTTAGAACGCACCGCCGCTGCCTCGAAGGTACGTTATACTTCCATCGCACAGCCTCGCAATTGTCATAATCATTTCAAACATCTGGATCATGCAACTAACCAATGCTCGCCCACTTCACCAGGATGAGTCCGCCGCAGGTCCATCCTCCGGTCCCAAACCCAACAAGGTGACCAAGCCGAAGGCCAAAAAGTCAAGAAAATTCCCCATCGAAGAAGTCATCGCCCGGCTCACGCAAGGTACACATCAGTTCATGTCAATGCAATTTCTTTTCCTTTCGGGTTCGAACAATTCAGCTAATATGATTGTTTTTGTTTTCATATAGTCGCACAACATGACCCCGAGGCTCGGAAGATCCTGGAAAAGATTTGGCACGGGCCTTGATGTGGTTCCGGTGTCGTGACGGCGCTCGATGCCCAAGACAGGTTGACGATAGTGTCGGAATCATAGCTACAGCAGATTATAACGAATGGAAGAAAGGCGTCAGCCTTATCAACGTGCGAGACTCCCGTTGGTGTGATGTGATCACGTGGTGATACACGCTACCGCCACCAACGCCAGCATAAACCGAGAGATTCGAGGTGTGAAACCCGGCAACGGAATCGACCACACGACTACGTCTTAAAGGATCCAATTTGGAAGACCCTGGCTGTAAAGAGATACCATGAACATCACAGTAAGCACCTCCTCCCAATGTTTATAATAGTATCCTTTGTTATCCCCGCTAACCTGGGAAAGTCCAGTCAAGCTGACACTGGGCTTTGCATCGATTGCAAAGCCATCAATTTCGATGAGGTGTTTTCAGACGATTACATGCTAGGTATTCCAATCGACGGCTACCGTGCTGTGTGTTCTTTACGCCACATTGATGGCATCGGGAACGAATCTTGTCCTCTGTGCGAATTTTTTCCGAAGCTTAAGACCTACGAATCCATCCTCCGACCACTTATTCCTCCGTGTGAGATGGGCCAAATCTTGGATTCGTTACAAGGAGGACCTGGCGAATATTGACCTTGACACCCAGACGGCATTGCGAATAGTACCTCATGACACTCTGCTCCTGGACATAAATGTAAACGCGCCCCTCCACGCCCAAGACAATCAGTTCATGGAACAAGGCAACGAAGACTCAAACAATAAAATAGCCGCCCGGAGAGTTGACGATCGAGTAAACTTCAAACTCATTAGGTCGTGGCTGAGATTTTGCCGTCAGCATCACCAGAGCCACTGCCACGCAGGTTTAGATGGCATTCGGGATATTCCTGGGTTCCGTGTTATTGACTGCGCATCTCGAAAGATCATGCCTTGGGCAGAGATACCCGAAGACCATGATCGAAGTTATACGGCGCTTAGTTATCTTTGGGGAACCGATACGTCCACAGCAACGCAAGACGGCAAGATTCCTTCGCCATCCCCCAAAGTAATTGAGGACGCAGTCACGACAACCATCGAGCTGGGCTTCAAGTACCTATGGGTCGATAGGTACTGTATTACACAGCATGAGTCCGAGCTCAAAGCTGCACAGATGAAGAGAATGGACGATGTGTATGGATCTTCTGCTGTCACCATAATTGCTTCAGCTGGCGACGGTCCAGCCTATGGACTTCCAGAAGTCAGCTCAACGCCCAGAGTGCCACAGAAGTCAGTCCGCGTTGGTTCGCGAACTCTTATTGCAATCAACAATGATATCTGCAAGAAGATTCGCGACTCAAAATGGAATACCCGAGCATGGACTCTCCAAGAAGGCCTTTTGTCCACCCGTCGTCTTTGCTTTGAGGACAATCAAGTTTATTTCCAGTGCAACCTGATGCATCGCCTCGAGAGCATTTCCATACCGCCTGGGACTCCAAAAACAGCGAACCCTGCCACGGATATCAACACCTCGTACCTTCATGGTAGTGGTAATAGAACTTCCCTTTTCCCAATCAACGGAATTCGTGAAGGGGGATATGTGGTTAACGCCTTCCGGAGATACGTCACTCGACACATTAACTACCCAAGCGATGGCCTTCAAGCTTTTGAAGGGATTCTAAGGAAAGCAGCTATGATGAGAGATCCTCTTTACAACGTCTGTGGTGTGTTCATCCGGGTTTTCGAGAAGATCGATATGACAGCGAGTCTGGTTGTCGGCCTATGTTGGAGAGTTAACCTGGTAGTGTCTCGTGAGATGAGGGTTATAAAAGCTTGGGAGATATCCTATCCGGGACCACTAAGACATCGTCTCTTCCCGAGTTGGTCGTGGGTAGATTTGGTAGGGAAATCCACTAAAAAGGGCATCACTTTCCGGCAGCCTTGGGAGCTATCGGGACCATTGTTGGCTTCCTTGTCCAAATATAAGACGCAACCTCTGACCCAGAGCATCGCCATGGAATATGTGGATGGAACCACAGTTTTATGGGAAAGCAGATACCAAGATATCCTCCTCTCAGCTATGACGAAGGAAGCACCGCGTACCTTACGCATACATGGCTATACGTCTGATGTATTACTCTGGAAGCTTCCTAAAGTCGGCTGCCCAGATACAAAAGGACCTCCTTCATCAAAATCAGTCGCTCCTCCCTGCGGGAATTATCGGACTTCTGGTTCAACGATGGATGGATTTGGTCAGACTGAGATCGCAGTCACTGTCACTTCTTACTCACGTGGCCGGCGGGGATAAAGTACTACCCTCACAATCTCAGCAATGCCGATCTCTGCTTGGTCGCAGACTGGCTCGAAACAGACAAGGGGCCTTCCTCATCATCACCCCTCCGAGACGAGTATTCTTTCCGTGTCATCCTTCTTGGCCGAGGGATAGATGATCGAGGGGTATACGATCTTGAGTTCATGGTGCTCACTCCTGCTGACCGAGGCGAAGGGTACCCTGATGCATATGAGCGGGTAAACATCATCTCACGTCCACTGCCTCCCGGACTGTCGCCCGAAATTTCGTTTGAGAACCTTGGGCCTGAGTTTCTCAGAGGTTGGACTATGCAAGAAACGATCATTGTGTGATGGAAAGGGACTGCATGGAACAGTGACAGCAGTTATCATTCAGGCAAGTAGCAACTACTCTTAGTCTTCCGTGCTTCACGTCAACGGATTCGTCACTTGTGTCTTTATGGCATATTTTTCCTGGTAGCTAAGAAACAACCGAAACCAGCATTACGCACTGAGGACCATCTCTAATTTTCGGAGTACATTCTAGGTCCCCCAAGTTATCGACCAGAAGAAGACAAAGCTGGAAGACCGTCCTCTTGACGCAAGTTCCCATACGGTCTCGCTTTCCTGATTTTGACTTTACAGGAAAACAATACATTGGGGTGGCAGCGCCATAACTACAACATCAACTACTGCATCCCACCGCTGCATACATTCTTTTAGGGGTTCGTGAACGAGGAGTGATCTGGCTCTTGACCATGAGCGAGAAAGCACCAGATGCTCATCAATCATACAATTCGTAGGGGTACATAAGAGCAGTCTCTGAGGAATTATATCACATACGACCATACCCACTGGAAAACTCGGGATCCCGTCCGCTCTCCCATAGATAAGCCAGTGAGGGCCAGACTAGTAGTTGGGTCGGTGACGACCAGCGAATCCCTGGTGTTGTATGTTTTTTCGTTCTCTTTTTATTTCTGCTCCCGTTCTTCCTCGGCCATTCATCGTGTTTGATTTCCCAACTTTTCGTCCCTTATTTACTTATTTTTTTCCTAAATCGAAGCGAGAAAGTTGATATCATTCCGTATATAAACGGTTTAAACCTCGGTCTCCATCAGTTACCACTAGAGATCCACTCATTCTGGCAAAAATGGGTTTCATGTCTTCGGCATCGACACTTGGTTGAACTGGTAAACATGACACTAGAGCTGAGGATACTTACGACGGTCACAGCAGTACTCGGTACGTGATACGTTGTGCCATCTCACTCTCCTTCTCAACCCCGTGGGGAGAGAAAGGGGTAAAGTAGCACATCCCGCAATGTGAGCATCTCTGAGGTGCCACCCGAAGCTCGTCTCTACCTCTCTGTGACAACAAGGTGCAAGAAACAAAAGGATCTGAGTTAGACTCGCGACCAACCATATGAGTCTCGAAACACTGACCGGTCTGAACTTTTTCTCCTCATGGCTGCTATTTGCAAGTTTCTTCAGTGTCTTTGAGCACGACAATAGCATGTTGAACGTTAACTGTTTTCATCTGCCTGTATGAAAGTAAGCGCTGTACTCCGGTGATATGGGATGGTGAAAACTTCCGCCAGATGGTTGGGTTTACCAACGCGATTTGCAACAACTCGGAGATCCGAGTTTTGCTCAACTAACAAGTTCACCACGTCAACAGCTGTCCTTTGGGGTATGTAGAATCAACCCCAAGGGAACTTCACCTAGAACCACAGGGGAATGCAATTGGGTAGAGGTATAAAGGGGACACTAGTTCCCAACTTGAAGGTTCTCAGTCGTAAACAAATTCAACACCATCATCACGATTCACATCGCAGAACCAAGCAGCCTCAACCACCAAACCCAACAAAACCCATCCCAAAAGCCCAAAATGGGCCGCCTCACAACTCTCATGCTCAGCGCCCTCGCCAGCCTCGCCGCCATGGCCCAAGCCGACTGTGACGAGGGCGCAATGCAATGCGGTCGACAGCTTATTGATGACGAAGGTAAACATACATCTACCTCTTACCTCTCTTCAACACAGTTTCTTTTCCTTTCCTAGGTTTCCTTTCCTTAGACTTTCATGCAGATACAGTAATACATCAATAGGTAGTTTGTTGCTAACTTCACTTTGACCATCTACCTTACTCAGGCTACACCCAAGCAGACCTCATCGCCATCCTCAACAACACGCAACAGCCGTATGACAACGACCACATCTTCGAATCGATCTTCTACTGCGACTCTTCGAACAACGGAAACGGCTGGGTTTACTATGAGTGGTGTGGCGGCCAGGATAGCTGTGTGGCGGGCGGTGATGGGGATGATGCTGGGTGCGCCGCGGCCGTGGCTCGAGTCGATGGCCGATAAGGTACCTGGCTCCTTCGCCGACGGGTGTGGCCTTGTTTACGAGTGTGGCTTGGTCCAAAACGAAGAACGACTCTATGGTTTGAGACCCAACTTGTCTCCTCCCGTGGGATATGATCGTCGGTTGTTGATTCTGGTTTCTGATTTGGGACTGTCAAGCTGATTCACGCTCGCTACCTAGTATCGAGGGAGGTATCTCGGACAGTCGTTTGGGTCCGTTCTTTTCAGAGTGGCTTCGTTTCCTTCGTTATTTTCTGCGTTCCTTTGAGCTTCCTAACCAACTGTGATAACTTTCGTGGCTTGTTTTCGGGGGTCCTTCATCGATGGAGGCCTGTCTGGGGAAGCATGATTCGAGTTCGCTCTCTGGTGTATTGTATGGAGGCTTATCAAGTTTCGCTGTTAAAGCCTCAGCCATTCGTTTCATCAACCAATACGCACATTCTTGCTCTATGACACTTGTGCAACCGGCATCGGATCCTGTTGAGGAAGTAGATCCAAATGCAGTTTCTGTGTATCGGACAATATGTCTGGTCCAAAACAGATCTCGGTCGTTGCATGGCTGTCAAAATTCCCTCGAGCGTCTTTCGCTGAACCTTGTATGAGAACGAGATCGCCAGAAAGCAAATGTGAAACTTGATCAACACAAAGAAAAAAACAGCGGATGCACCTTGAAGATTGGTATCAACGAGAAAAGAAACAGAAGTATCTCAATTACCTCCGAGGCTGCCGATAATCCAACCACCCACATAATCATCCAATGCCTAATGCCATTATGGCCTGTTCCAACCCCGTAGATCTTTTGCGAACCTAGACTCCTTTCTCTTCCGCCTCAGAATGTACATTCCCTCACCCTCCCTCCACCCGTCCCCATCCCTCCCACTCCAGGTAACTCATACTCAACCCACCTCGCCGCCCCCTTCCTCCCCGGCACCAATATGCTCCCCGGATTCATGACATGACACCCCTCATACGTGACGCAAAACGGCGGAGCGGTAGTATCCACCAACACCATGGCTGTCGGCAGCGGGTAGAGGTACATAGCGGAGGTATAGTCCCAGTGTACGGGCCTGATAGCCTGCCGGAAGGGAGCGAGGTATCCTTGGTCGAGAATAGTTTTCACTAACTTGCGGGCAGCGAGGACGTCGTAGGGTATGGAAGGTGGAGGTAGCATGGTAGCCTTTTGGTTAGGAGCAGGGGCAGAATCGACGTCCATGGCGTCGGTCATGGTTGTGTCTGCCATGTCTTCATCGTCGGCATCGGGGGCGTCGGGGAGGGAGGAGGGCGGGCATTGGTTATCCATCGCCGAGTCGTCGTTGTCGTTGGATGTTGGTGGTTCCGGTTCGACGGGGGCTTTGCTCGTGTTCTTAAGACGGACAGAAGCTCGTCGTAGCCGGGCGGAGATGTCATCTCGGAATAGAAGCATTTCGTGGCTGGGTCCGAAGAGGGTTATCCTGCTTGGGTTGGTTGTCCAGACGGCTTCGCCGCCTTTCCTTTTACCGGCGTCCTTTTCGGTTTCTTTGCCTGGGTTGGCTAATCCTCCTTCGGCATTCGCTGCTGCGAACACCCTCCTGATGCGGGATGTGAACAGATCTGGGACGGGTTTCCTCGGCAAGGGAGTTGCCGCACCGCCAGAGAAGGCAGACACCCACCCGTCGTTGTCACCCGGCACGAAGACGAAGGTTGCCGTCGTGAGCAGACTAGGGAAATCCGCCAGTGTCGACGCCAACGCGTCGAAAAACTCCTTGTACTCGATACTACCACCGCTACCGCCCCTCGCCATGACAGCATGCTGCGTGAAGTTACCCGCCAACACAAACGTCATAGGTGTACACCCTTCAGGATCACTGGCATAGAGACCCAAGATCTTCCTAAGCGCCTGCAAACTCCTCGGCTGATCTAGGTTCAGTTCGCCAATGATCACCACCCTACCCCTCGACGGCCTGCCATCCTCCAACAGGGCTGGTTGCCGAAGGATCCTGTGCTCCAACTTGCGCATCTTTGACCCGACTGCCCTCTCGCTGCCTACGCCCAGGAAGTCAATCCAGCCGAACCCGCCGCCAATAGTGTGATCAGCGCCGGAACCGTCGGGTCCACTAACACCGAGCGTAACCCGGCGCTTTTCGCATGGCGGCTGGCCGATGAAGAACCCCTGGAACCGGCCGCCGATGGTACCGCCCACACCGCTGCTGCCACTGAGACCATTACCCATAGTCATGGTCTCCTCCTCTTCTTCGTAGACGCCGTCGATGAGGACAATCATGCCCGGTGTGAACCAGGCAGAATCTTCGGGGATGGCGACAGCGTGGGAAAGGTCGAGAGTGATGGTGCCGGTTAGATCGCTAATGGCGAGGGACCCGGTGGGGAGGACAACAAGCATGCCCAGCAGCATGTGGTGGGTGCCGTGGCGGCCGAGCAGGTTGGCTATCGGAGTGATCTTATGGGAAGAGAGGCCGTTGGCGGTGGTTCGTTGACGCAGGCTGGAGCCTTGGACGGAGGAGGACTGGAAGGCTTCGTTGCGGAGAATGCGCTGGTGGATAACGTTGTAGCGGTTGCGGAAGGCATCGGTTTTGTGGGAGGCGGCTGGTAGTAAGGAGGGTTTGGAGGGGTCCCTATACAGGTTAGATGTAATCCATATGTCCAAGTGATGATAAGGGGGCATACCTCTCAAAGTGCTTCTTTCCAACATTATACGTCAACCGTGGTTGATCAAAGGCATGTATAACCTTTAACCACCTTCTGACATCCCTCACTGAATCGTCCTCCGGCTCTTCTGTGAACTCCAACCCAGACATGCCAAAGCTGGCGTTGCTATCCTCCCGAGTTAATGACTGCACAGGCCTGAGTCCCAGTCGAGTATGCGCATGTTGTTCGTCTTGGTCGGGCTCCAGCAAGAGACTATTTTGTCTGCTCAAGCTTCGTGGCCCGGTCAGGATCTTCCCTCCACTCATGTTACCCTCGAGGTTCTTGAGAATGTCTTTCAGCTCGGGGCTGTTCCCTTCCACGATGACGCCACCATTGCGATTCTTCCAACTCCTTGCCACCTCTTCTAGCACCTTTTCGGCCAGGCCTTCTTCCCTCCATCCTGAGCCGCAGTGTCTACCGATAAAGGTTGCGAGCTCTTGTAGCGCCGTCGATGTAAGTGTTAGGCTGTGCTTCTTGGTAAACGTTCGGAAGGCGAGTGGTCGTAGTGTCGCTGGAGGAAGGATGATGGGAAGGATTGCGGCTTTTGTTAGGACTGGAGGCTGGAACGGCTTCAGTGGGTGTACGGGAGTAGCGAAGGCGGGCGAGGACGAGGGTATCGGGTCAGATGGGCCTGCTGGGTTCTTGGGCGCAAAGAAGCCGGCGGCTGCTTGTGGTTGCGGTCTTGATGGTCTCTCTTCCGAGGGCGTCTGGGCGTTTTTCGACCGCTTTGGGCGGGGACTTTGGACAATCATGATGTATCTGGTTTGTGTACTTCAACTAAACTCCGATAAGACAAGAGACAAGTACAATTGACCGTTTGGCAGTGTGTTCGTGGTGATGATAGCCGTCGATGTCACTGTCTGGAAGACGCGTAAATTGAGAAACGAAGCAGGGGACCAGACGCGTTCTGGTGGGGCTCACCCCAGATTTCAGCCAATGCGGGCTCCACAATGTCAGGAACAGGAATCAAGGGCCACCCTAGTGGCCGCCGGCAGCGCTAGAGAGGTACCTACAGCAGGTACTTAGACGCACTACCTAACAGCACCAGAGTGACATCAACTAACTTTTGACGCCATCACCAACCATTTCATTCTCGATATCCAGAAGCAGTCAGTCAAGATGTTGCTAGCTACAAGATTTCGTGTAGCCCCCCAGCTACGAACCGCCATCAGGTCATTTACGACCTTACCCTCCAACCCCAACATCGTAAGTCATCCACCTCCACCTCCAACCCCACCCCTCACTTACACCACAGCCCATCCTCACCACATCACCACCTCCCTTCCCCTCCCCCATCCAAACCTCACCACATAGTACTCAAACTCCTTACTAACTTCTCCCCAGAAAGTCTTCCCCCAGCCCAACAACCCAAAATCGTACATCCTCTCCCTCCTCCCCACCACCCCTCCCTCTCCCGCCCTCTCCATCGGCACCACCACCTCCCTCCCCCCCACCCCCCAATCCTTCACCACCAACCCCCACTTTCTTTCGATCCTCAACGCCGTCCTCACCGAGCACGCCTACTCCGACCCCGGTCTTCAATCACAAGCCCAAGCCTTCGCTTCACCAGCCGGCTTCTCCTTCCTTCCTGGTTCAGCAGGTAGTAAACCTGGCGGCGCAGGCAGGAGGTTGGGGAAGAAAGGGAATGATACAGGCGCCGGCGGTGCGTCAGCGGAGGGAGGAGCCGGAGGAGCAGGTAGAGGGGGGTGGGTGCATCTGAGTGATGAGAGGACGCCGGTGGATTTTGGGAGGATTGCCTGGCCGGAGGATATCTTTGGGAGCGTGGAGGTTGATGGCCAGGGAAAGATTTTGGAGGGGACGTTTCAGGGGAGTGGGACTTATAGGGTTGTTACTAATCAGGGGATGTGAGTATTTTTGTTGGGTGAGGTGAGGTGAGGTGGTATGTGGGTTGAATGAAAGTGTTGCTAACATTTGGCTGTGCTGTTTAGCTTGGGACTTAGTCCGTTTTTGATGGAGAAGTTGGTTGCGAGGTTGAGGGAGGAGGAGGTCAAGGAGAAGGAGAAGGAGAAGGAGAAGGAGAAGGCTTGAAGGGGTGTTTGTGTGGTATCTGGTTGGGGATGATGAGAAGGGTGAAGATGATGAGAGTGGGTGTACGATAAGCGAGCGAGCGGTTCATGCATTGTGTCACTACTCTTTACGTTGTTACTTTAAGGTTGGGCAGACGTATGTCTTGTTGCTCGGTTCAAGGCAAGGTTTCACGACCGTCATGGGAGATCTGCCATTTTGTTGACGTTGACTGTCTGTCTCGTGTAGGCGGAGGTTTCAGCAAAGATGGACAACAAAATGACACAACAAAGAGAAAAAAAGAAGAAAAGGGAGAAAGATAAACAGAAAGGTCTTTAGAGTGAAAAGAGGAAGAATCAAAAAACGAAAAAAAACATACAACACCAGGGATTCGCTGGTCGTCACCGACCCAACTACTAGTCTGGCCCTCACTGGCTTATCTATGGGAGAGCGGACGGGATCCCGAGTTTTCCAGTGGGTATGGTCGTATGTGATTGTTTATTGAGTTTCATGTGCCTATAAAGTCGACGCAAAGGGACTCGAGGACAAACTTCAACGTCGTTCAAATGTTGACTCTTGTTTTGGGCGATATTGAAGGTCACTGCATAGAGTGAAATGGGTTTTTGTGAGAAGTTAACTTGAAAAAGGATAGGTGGATCCCACAGGGTCTGCTTCTTATGCCGCTCGCCTACTACGATGAAGAGATCCTAAAGCTGGAATTAAAGACCCGAAGACTCTCAATATGGTGTTGAGAGTTTCCGATGGCTGCTGACGATATTGAATCGGATCTTGGCACATCATGCTTTCCTCTCCTTCCTCCTCCTCCTGTCACGTCTAAGCCCGGTGATAAGGCAAGGCAGCAGGAGTAGTGTGACATAGTACAGCAGCAACTATTCCCAGCTTGCTGGGCGTTAGTGGGATCTCTTTGGGGACATTTAGAGCTAAGTGCTGTGTTCGTACTTTGCATATTCGCCAACGTTGAAGGATCTCCATATCTGGATGCGTGGCGTATTCGCTGATATGTGAAACGTTTCATGGACGGACGCTTCTAGCCCAGGGCATATTCTTGCGGTTTTGAGCATATGCCTGAAATTTGACAGTCTGCATGCCTACAGATTGCATGTGGGTATGCCTTCCATTCTTGGGAAGAGTACTCTCCCATTGTCCCCGATGTTCGGAATTTGAATATGCAAAGAAAATGGGCACCTGCGTCTGACGGTTGTCGTGGCTCAAGTGTGGGTTTATCAGCTGCTTATGCTCCTAAAGAGGGACGACAAGCCAGTCTTGATGAAGCAGTTCCAAGGCCATAGACTTGCTATCGTTTTTGGTAGCTCACGAAGTCTGGAAGGCCTAGTCCATTTCATGCGAGGTATTGGGAACTTACAGTCAGCCAGCTCGGGCATATGAGTTGCACGCTGCTGCCTCCCTTCGCCTTTCATTCCTTCATCGTCTGCCCTTCATCCGCGCCTCGTTTGAGTTGGAGGAAAATTCCGTATCCGCAGCTAGACGATAGGTATGGCACATGGACGTAGTGTAACATATCAAACTGCGGTTTCTGTCAATATCGGGCACAGCTAGGCTGAGCTACAGTAGCTGAATGCGTCGCCGGTAGTAGGTAATAGTCAGTCTTGGCCTAGATAGTCGAGTGCCACGACTTCTCGGGACCTAATGTAAGGTACTGGAGGATTTGGCGCAACCTCAATATGCATTAACGTTGGCGTTAAGGCTGATTTTGTTTACGGGGTATGCATGAGAGGCGCTCACGCGGTAATGATAGCCTCGGGTCTCGACTTCTTCTGGATAACCTCCTGCACCAGAGGCCCGTTGACGCGAGTCTCAACTGCTGACGGGTATGCATGAGGGTTTCCGAGACACCGCGACTGCTTGTTCACGCCAAGTATCTCGGTTTGTTCACGCCAAGTATCTCGGTTTGTTCACGCCAAGTATCTCGGTTTGTTCACGCCAAGTATCTCGGTGTTAATGCTGTCAAGAGAAGCGAGATGTGTAAGTCTCAATCCATACAGGTGCTTTCAGCACATAATCTCCAAAAGACTCTACATCAGATAGTGGACGTACCGGTTGGTTCTCTAGGAGACTGGCTCCATTGATGGACAAAACAACCAGATAATCGAGCCTCATTACTCAACCTGGTTTGAGAGGGGGCCCACGTGCAAGTTTTGGTAAAATTTTCTATTTCGGTTGCCCTCGCGTTGATGGACAGATTGCCATGTACCAAGTAAAGATATCATCATTAGGCGGGAAACCGACAACAGCAAATGGATAGGCTTGTCGAACGGGTTGGATCTTAGTTGACTCTGGAGTCAACCCATCAAGTCCAACTTTCCGGATAGCTCACCATCACTTGACGGTGTTGCCCTATGTCCCGATCAGGGCCGCCTGCTGTAGTGAAGTTAGAATTAAGATCTCGGGAAAGTTTGCCTCGGAGATTTTGAGTGAGACAAGGGAAGGAACCAAGTTGCTGGGCCCATTACCTGGACTCATAATCCGTACCACCAAGGCAGCCAACATGAAGTGATTCAGGGCAAATCTTTCCATGACAAGAAAGTTCGCCCACAAAAATACTCCCATAATCTCAGCACTGCTCACCGATAGCAAGCCCCAAAGGCTGAGCCATGAAGAACATCCACCTCGGAAAAACGAACGGGGGACTACTGTTGCCCGGGTAGTCGCTCGCCTGCTGAACGGTTACACACCCGCCTGGATGGTGATCTGTCTTTCGTATCCGAGTCCGGCATCGTGAGATGTCTCGCGCGCGCCGGTCCTGTGGCTTGAACTCGCTCTGGAATTCCCAAGGCGACCGTCCTCCTCGGTTTCCGAGCCGCTGGAAGCGAAAGAGTCTCTGGAGTCAAGCCACATTGCAGGGTCGGTGGTCAGAAAACCCCGACGATAGTTCAGCGAGATGCCGGTCTGAATGCCGGTGCCCGAGACACTTGGCTATTCTGTCCACTGATTTTACTTCTCAATATCCATGGCGAACGCCTTCAATGTCCCATTCCCTGCCGGCGAAGGAAATAAGCTTTCCCATGGTCTCTGTTTCTGCCTCGTCTGTGTGGATTATTGATCGGGCCTGATCGGATTTGGGAGGAAATAGGCGGTCGAGCATGACGTTGGAACCCGCGGATCACAAAGTCCGGTGTTGTCAAGGTCGAAGTCGAAGGTGAGGTGAACATGAAAATCCCCGAGTGTCCGAAGCACACGTAGAGATACCCCGCTGAACGTGTTCCTGCATCCTTGACAGCGTCGATGCATTGGTAGCACTGTATGACTGCCTGAAGCAGCGCGTTGATTGTTTCTTCGTGTCCTCTCGTTGAGAGATGTTTGTGTTTGAAAATCACGAGGTTCACGAACCTCACGAATGAAGAGACTTTGACGGGACCATCTCTTCCGCATTCCAGTTGAATAGCGCTATCTTTGTCTTTTCCACAGTGCGATCAATGAGCTCCTTACAGGGCTCGCTCTACGGTACCACTTCTGCAGCTACAGCGATCTACAGGGGTCTCCCAGCAGGGTGACATTAACAGAAAGGGTATCGCGCCAAGCAGCGCCCAATGAAACTCTTCCCGAGCCTCCAACTCAACCTCACTTCATCTCTTCCTCTTGCTCTCTCCCTCTTCCACATCGACGACACTGCAACGTGGCAACGGTTCTACAGGCAATTTAATTACAATATGCAGGCCCCTGCTTCGAGCGAGTGCCCACAGCTTTTTTCAGGCAATGACCCTTGGAATCGCGTCATCGACAAAGAACACAGTCCCCCAGTTTGTGCAAACGCCCTTCTCGTAAAGCTTGAAGATCGCTTTGAACCTGGCCACTCTTACTTTGACACACAGAGCTAAAGATGATTCAAAAATTCCCATGGAAAACACCATCGAAGACGAGCTCGCCCCAGTCTGGTTTGCTTCTCGTTTTCCTTTCTCCCATCTGATGAGCCCTTCAGCCACCACCATACCCTCCCTATACCAAGCGCCCTGACAGATGGCTGATATGTTTATAGACTTCACGTGTGATTCTGTATCCCCCTCCTTCACTATACAGTCTTCCTCTGTATGTATCCGAGCGACCTCTCGGTGTCACCTTAAACCAAGTCTTACACACCACATGCCATACGCCTCCCAAGCTTGTACAACTTCACCTTTCTCCATTCTTTCGTATGTGTGCTGTTCAAGCGCCCGCCCCTAAAGCCAGCATGCAGTTCCCGCCGCTACCCGGACGCTTAGATTATCAAGGAGAGCAGTTCGAACGAAGCAGACAAAGAGCTGCTAAGGAGTCTGTTTACCGCCAGTCTTCACCTGGAACTGGAACAGACTACAGAATCTACATGGTTCTACCCAGTCTTTGAACCATTTTTGGGTACAGTTTCCGTTGGGGCAGTCGTCCTATATTCCACAAACACTATCTCAAGTGTGGTCCGGGATGTGGGAGCATCAACTTTGCGATATTGTAGTCCTCACTCCTGCACGTCTTCTGATCTGTCGCGTAGTCACGCCTCTTCCTGCCAGCTCCAGATTCAACACCCAATCAATGATTGCATAAGGAGACCCGTCCTGCAGCCATTCAATACTCTGATGCCTCTCAGCATGGAGCTGTTCACAATCACAGAGCTGACAGCTTGGCTCTGCCTCTTCGGATCTAGAGACGCATCCCGCACACCCTCCTTGGGACAGTATCGACTGCAAGTGCAGCTATCATGTGGGCAAACCTCCTGATTAGGAAATTACCCTTCGTACCATACCCCTGTGGTCGAATCCATCATGAGCCACAATGCCAGCGAAGACCACTCGAGTCTCTTGTCGTTGTCGGCCCCATCATCACTCTGCCTGTCTTCGTTCTTACTTATATACGGAGGCTTCTCTCGTTCGAGAATCATGTCTTTTGTTCAGTCCCTTCCATCCTCATCTTCAACGTCAAGCTCTGGGTTCACCTTTGCCCATCTTTTAGTACACTCCTCCTTTCATTGCCACTCTTTTGGCTTGACTCTTCTTTCCAACCCGGACCATGATGTGGTCACTCCTCCTTTCCCTGGCATTGCTGTGCTTTGGTACAGTTGCCAGGGCAGCAGTTGTCACCATTAACTGGAACGTCACATGGGTTTGGGCTTCTCCCGATGGCTTTGGAAGACCTGTCATTGGTATCAACAACCAGTGGCCGTGCCCCAAGCTCGAAGCCAACGTTGGCGACACCCTCATTGTGAACCTCCACAATGGTCTTGGCAACCAGACAACTGGTCTTCACTGGCACGGTATCAACCAGCTGCAAACCCCCGAGATGGATGGACCTAGTGGTGTCGTCCAGTGTCCCACTCCTCCCGGATCCTCGGTTCAGTACAAGTTCTTGGTAAGACATATGTCTCTTCTAGATTTCTGATCGAACCGGGGCTTACATGGTTACAGCTTGATGAACCCGGCACCTTTTGGTATCACTCTCACGAAAAGGGACAATATCCGGATGGCTTGCGCGGCCCCCTTATTGTCCAAGACCCCAATGATCCCTACAAGGGCAAGTACGACGAGGAGATTATCTTGACTGTTTCCGATTGGTAAGTGTCCTTCTTAACCTTAGGCCAGCAATTTTCTAACAATGGCACAGGTATCATTCTCAGAGCATCCCGCTTGTTCAGAACATGCTTTCTCCCGCCAACACGCGGTTCGCTCCGCCATTCCCAGATACCATCTTGCTTAACGACAAGAAGGATGTCAAGTTTAACTTTGTCAAGGGCAAAACCTACCGCGTCCGTCTCATCAACATGTCCGCCTTTGCCTCGGCTTTCCTCTGGATTGACTCCCATCCGCTCACCATGATCATGAGCGACGCCACCTACCTCCAAACCGAGACCGCCTATCAGTTACACGCCAGTTCCGCTCAGCGGTACGACTTCCTCATCTCCGCCATCGACCGCGACTCCGGGAATTACCCCATTCTCGTCGCTCTCGACATCAACCGGGACTTCCGCAACCAAACCCTGGCCCCCGCCTTCCCCCACAACCAAACGGCCTGGCTAATGATGGACGAAAACGCTCCCCTGACTCGTCCAACCAACAACATTGACGTCTGGCGTCCGGCCGAAGACACCCACTTCAAACCCCTCGACAACCTCGCCATGATCCCATCATACGACCACCTCGTCAAGCTTGATTTCCGCTTCTGCCTCGACGCCAACGGCTACCCGCGCGCCTGCCTCAACGGCAAGCCGTTCATCGGCCAAAAGGTTCCCGCGCTCTACACCGCCGCGACGGTAGGCGAGAACAACACCAACCCGATCGTCTACGGACAAATCAACCCCGTCGTCGTCAAAAAGGGCGACATCGTCCAGCTGGTGATCAACAACCAGGAAGCCGCCGGGCACCCGTTCCACTTGCACGGCCACCGCTTCCAGATCTTGGACCGCGCCAGGCCGTATGCCGGTGACTGGCCCGGTCGCGACGTTAACTACAACCCCGTGCCCAACCGGCGTGATACTGTCACCGTCTGGTCGTGGAGTCACGCCGTGCTGAGATTTAAGGCGGAGAACCCGGGCGTGTGGCTGTTCCATTGCCATATTGAGTGGCATGTGGAGATGGGCTTGACGGCGAGTTTCATTGAGGGCCCGGAGCAGCTGAGGGGCAAACAGTTCCCGGAGGACCATTTGGAGAATTGTAGGATTGGAGGAGTGCCGACGAGGGGGAATGCGGCGGGGAATACGGTTGATCCGTTGGATACGACGGGCATGTTGACGATTTCTCCGACGGTCTATACTGGGTATGTTTTTTTTTTCCCTTCCTTTTCTCTCCTGTTGACGACTTGAGTGAATGATGTGATGACTGACGATGTTACTTGCAGTGCCACGTGGATTCCTCCCTCTAACACTCCTCCTACCACACCTGGTAACTCAACTTCTTCTCCCGCCCGGAGGAGAGCAGCGTCAGGGGTTCAGCGTCGAGATGCTGTGTTTGAGGATAGTGAGCTGGTCATCTAGACGACTGGTTCTCACTGGATGTGACCTCCTTAGTAACCTGTAGCCTCTCAGTTTCGGAGATTGTGTGGTTACTAGGTCAGGATGGAGGAGTCACAGGAATGATCATGGAATGAATGACAGGTACCTGGGAGGTATATGGAAGGTGTCTGGAAAATAACGGCGTTTTTGTGTATATGTTGGTTGGCATTTGTTTCTTCATCGTTACCCCTTTTTGGATAATGTTTATACCACTTCTTGGCTACTTGCCTTCGGTTTCATCAGACGTAAAGTGGTGGTCGCTATTGACGTTGGGTACCAGATGCAGTTTAGGCCGTAAGCATACCTCTATTCACAAAACAAGCATTTGATTCCATACACTTGACCTCCAAATCAGCCAGAACCAGAGTCAACTCATCAACAACGACGAGGCTTTGTCATCCGAACGTCTGATTTTATAGGCATATGAAACCCATTGAAATATCACATACGACCATACCCTCTGGAAAACTCGGGATCCCGTCCGCTCTCCCATAGATAAGCCAGTGAGGGGAAGATTATCTATGGGAGCCGTTTTTGACAGGGGTTTGGATGACTCAGCTGAAAACGCCGCCCCCGTTTCTGGAACCGTTTTCCCATTGCCTTCGCCGTCGAGTGCACCGTTCCACTTACGCCAAGCCCAGCAGAGTAGGCTAGGCATACACTACACAAGGTACTTACACCTGCCATTTACCCCTGACACCTACTCCATATACTTAGTACTTCTAACTGGGAGGTGTGGTTGGTTTTTGGGAGGTGTGGTTAGCTTTTGGGAAGTGTGGTTGGCTTTTGGAAGGTATAATTGGCTTTTGGGAAGTGTGGTTGGCTTTTGGGAGGTGTGGTTGGCTTTGGTGAACATCACAAGGGCCTCAAGATATATATTGCGTCTTTACCCTCAGATTCCCGACCGAACCAAACAAGCACACTTTTGTCCCATTCTCATTGCATTCACTGTATATCCATTCTTCCCAGTTGATTCTACCGCATGAATTACGGCCCCTACGTTGCGAGGGTTGCATTGGTTTTCATATCAAACCCTCCTTCCGAGTTTTCTAATGAATTTCTCCTCCCAAACACACTGAGCTCGTTAGCTATTGCAGCTTGAGAAGGTATTGTTTGAGTTTCACGGTGCCGATCACACTCCATCCATATGCAATACGGAAGGGATGGAGCTACAAAAACCGCCGATACCGCCGACTGTACCCGACGACGAAGAACGGAAAAGAAGAGCATTTGCCGACGTCGACGAATTTACGGTAACAACACATGAGCGTTCGCTTTGTAAGAAGACCAAAGCCGAGCGAGAACGCGCGTGGCGTCTATGGAATAGGTATGTACCTTATCATTTTGCTGCTTTCTTTAATATTGCGTACTAACGCTTTTTAGATTTGTCACAGATGTGTTACAATTAACACAAAAAGAGGCTGATAAGATTTGGTTTGGCGTGTGCCAAAACAAGAAAAAGTCCATTGCTATCTGCAAGAGCTTTCTGGCCGACTATACACGCTATGCAAGATGCAGGCGTCTGTATATAGACGGTACCGAGGAACAGAAGCAGGTACGAACAGTTCAATCAGTAGTGACTATTATTGCTTTATGGAAGCATATAGTAGCTCAAGCTGATGCTGTAGTGCTCGCGAAGAGAAGGGATCAAGATTCAAATGAAGATTCAGACGAAGATTCCGAACAATGGACATTGCTTGGCAACCGTGGGAAGGCCCGTGAAGAGGTTATCCAGGTAGATTCCCTCCTTACCCCTACCAATACTGTGTACTGACATTTCTTCTCACAGTGGATCCAATCAACTCTTGCACAAAAGTTCAACCTTTCATGCAAACAAACATTTGAGAAAACCGAAGCCACAACAGACGATGTTCTGCTTATTCTTAGCACTTTGTGGGAACGCGCGGTCGATATACCTTGTGATCCTAGACATCGGGTTGCCTTTCATACATTGGTGCTTATAGGAAGCATTGGCTTTCGGCCCGGCACTTATGAGAACATGCTTTATCGACAAGTCAAGCTACTTGTCGTTCGCGATCCGGATACAAAGGAACCAAGGCTTATTGCTCAGATAACGATCAATCAAAACAAGCTATCGGTTAATAAAATTGATAAGGGGGCAGATGTGTATGTATTCTTGCCCTGAACCGTTGATCCAAACTAACACTTTTCTAGGGTGATCTTTTCTGCTACTATGGTACCATGCCAGATCCTTTGCTTAGTTACGTTTGTAGCTATTCAAGCTCTACAGGATGATGCCTTCGAAACAGAGTTTTCATCCTTCGACGAATTACTTCAGCGTCCAAACTTGGAAGATGTTGATTGCATTGAACTTAGGTGGAAGGATGGGATGCAGGAAAAGCCTATCTTTCCCTTAAAGTACTACAAATTTCTGGAACTTTGGAACCGGACATGGTTGGTAGCGGGGAACAGAACTCCTCTCCGCCCCTATGCGCTGCGAATCGGCGGTGGAAATAAAATTGATGGTAAGAAACTTTTACCTGTTTCCCTTACTATTTTGCTTACAATTTTTACACAAGGTTCCCTTACATCCGCTATTCGAAACCACATCCTGAGCCATAACACACAAACGTTCGAAACCTCTTACCAAGCGAGGCATATTCCACACAATTTGATGTCATTCGTTTTCGATAGTACATCTGAAGACGATTCCAAGCTATTCAAGCTACTGGCCTCCGCATCCTTGCGTAGGGATGACAAAGCACCGCTTTATCCGACAGCAGCTACGCTAGAAACGTTTGAAAATCGCGAGGATATGAAAGCACTTCGCGCACAGCGTCGTCATCTCCGGGAAGAGCTCCAACTCTCTGCAGACAATAGAGAGGTAAAGCAACTTTCCGCAAAAATTGGAGATTTACGGACGGTATTGTCAAACTTGGCTGTCAAGCAGGCTCGAGAAAACTACTTCGCTAAAGTTGATTCCCTTAGGGCTCGCGGCCTGTCAACCGAAGATATGCCAGCCCCCCCTCCAAATCCTTTCAGATGCTCCTTCGGTCCCAGTTTACCTGCAGCAACAATCATTGGTCGATACTTGAACCCCAAAGATCCGGTTTCCGACACCGCTACGAAAATGCTTTTTCCAAATTCGACCGACAGTGGTTCTGACCAAACTACCCAAAAGCGGCTTGCAGTACCGGAAATGCTTTTTGCGTATCTGAATGATAGGTACGGAGAAGTAGAAGGGATTGCTCAGGAAATGGAGCAAACAGCCTCCGAACATAAGAAAGCAGCTTCCACGCTCTCTACATGTCTTCTCTGCCTACAAAGCTTCACTCGTCGACGTAACCTCAGTAGACACCATCGGAGCGTCCATTTCACGGCAACGACCTTTGAACCTTTCTCATGCCCCGAATGTCAGCGGCAAGGAAAGGAGGAGTATAGAATCGAGAGGGCATCGGAGTGGAGTAACCATGTCGAAAGAGTACATGGTTCCATCAATACTCCGGATCTCTTCACTACGCCAATCGTCAAACCCACATCAATGGCTACAACTACCAAGTCGAAATCCGCTCCTTGTTTAAGATGCGGCCAATTGTTCTATGCCGGAAACAGTTTGTCAAGGCATATGAATAAGTATCACAGAATCGTAGAGCCATTCGATTGTCCAGAATGTAAGAGAGAAGGGGAGAATATCCAGATTAATGACCTCGCTTCGTGGCTTACACATACGTTGGATGTTCACGGTTGTAATGGGCAAACAGGAGTGGTTATTGATAAGGTTGAATTTGGCGTGCTCTTCTACTCTCCTAACGTAGTCCCTCTGACTAAACTAGACTGGCCTCGCCGGCTTAGCTGTCACATTGACCCTTTTGGTAGTTATTTACGTAGCAGAAATATTTACTTAGTTAACTCCAGAAAACTATAAAGTCTTATCCTCCATAAAGAATTGGATATTTCTTAGGTTTAATAGAGACGTTTAATTCGCGGATTGGTTGGAAGGGGCGAACGAAGTTGAAGCAAAACTGGAGACCTAGTAAGTGAGCTGGGCCCACTCCGGTTTGGAAAACCAAGCCGCTGACAAAAGGAAACACATGACCAGTAGCCCAAGGTCCGTAACACCGACCTACATGATGAGTGATGAAAGAGAAAAAGCAAAAGGTCAAGAAAACAGAAACGGACAATGAAATGGAACGAAACAACATTGCCAAAGTAAAGGAAGAAAGCCACACGATCCGTCAAGCAGGAATAAAATCCAAGCCCAAGCCCTGAGCAACACGAGGCCAGTCCCATACTGCCGCCCAATCGCCGGACTCCATGAGCTGCCACACATGCTCCAAAACCTCCAAGGTGCGGTCGGCATTTCTAAGGCCAGTGTATCCCTTGACCGTTTTGAGAGCAGTACGCACCCGATCCTGGTGGGCGGTCGTGAAGCATGCGGTGGCGATGATGAAGCATGGAAGGAGGAGCAGGGTTTGACACGGGTCACTGGGCCTAAACGATTCCATGATGCCCAGCGACTCCTGGACAGCCAGAGTGATCCGCGGGTCATGTTGGGGTGGTTTGCGAGAGGGCGGCGGCGACTGGGCCCTGAGAGATGAAGCGGTGCTCAGGAGCGGGACCGAACCCATTCCATAGTCTGTTCCCTCCAACTTGCGTGATGAGGTGCAGCTTGGCGATGCTAACATAGGCGGCGTGGTAACTCCAGCTGCACCGGTTCCGCCATGGCGGACGTTGGACAGTGTAGAGAATGGGAGGGCAGAGGAGTTCGTTGGAGGCAAAGGAGCCGAAGGAGTCGGTGGGTAGACGGTTCGGACTAGGTAGATCCACATCATGTGTTTGTAGAGAAGCCCTACCCGGTCGCGATTGTCTCCCCTGGGCCAGTGAGGTGTCCAGTCCTTGATGGCTGCATCGATCTCGGCCGCCCGATAGAAGCTGACATAGTCAACAACTGGATCCACTTGGGTGACAATGTTGTGTCGAATGGTGTTTCGAATCATGGTGATTTGAGGAAGATACTCCAAGAGCCCATCGGCAACGCCAAGCAGCCTAGGAGGGTGGATAGCCGGTGTGTGGTTGGCATCGTTGGGAATCGCACGGTGGTGAAGAGTTGAAAGGGAGTGAATCAGCTCATCAGCAAAGATGTGGTACTGGAAGAACTCGGCGATGAACGAGAAGAAAGCCGAGTCCTCCGGCGGAGAGCTTGAAATGAGACTCTTGTATGCCGAAAGATGGAGCCGGTGCTCACCGCGAGGATTGCCCTCGGCCAATGCCTGGAGAAGGAAGCAAAGCATCTGACCGTAGCGAGCAGATACGCGGAGCTTGTCTTGGGCATCGCTGACTTCCACGTCCTCGTAGAACTTTTGCCTAGCTTGGTTATGGTGATACATAGACCGTTCATGGAGCTTGTGAACAGACGTCGAGGGGTTGTTTTTGAGAACATTGAGACCGTAAAGAGTGTCGTAGTCGATGTGTTTGCTTGCCAACGAAAGGATGGAGTGCATGAAGCCTTGGTGTTTGACGGCAATAGGAACCATCATGTCCTTGAAGGCATTCTTGTGTTCACCCTCGACGGTCAGCACCGTGCTGAGGTGCTCGTTGTAGTGCTTCCAAAAGATCCGATCCTCGACCGTGTCGAGCCCGTGGAACAGTGGCTGCATTGTAATGGGCGGCAAACTGTGGGACTTGAGGCGCTCTGCATGCATGGGCATGTTAGACTGTCTTACCACGAGAGTAGTCCCAGGGCTATTATGCTTACCCTCCTCGGCCCTCTCTCTACCACTCTTCCAGATCTGTTTCTCGGGATACCCTTCACAAACCACAGCATTCTTTTCGCAGTTCATGCCTATATGATATTAGAACGGAACAAAAACTAATAAGGGCTGAACCTCAACTTACACCGTGGCTTTGCCTCGTCACACTTCTTCCTGCGCTTCCGACAAGTGAGGCAGCCTGTCTTGGATCGGCCTTTTGTGACCTTGTTCGCGGGGACAACCGGCGCAATGGGGTGCTTGCGGGGCCGACCTCGGGGACGCTTCGTCTTTGATTGATCTGGCATCGAACCGTCACTGTTGGGTAGTGCGCTTGCTGGAGCTTCCTTGATATGGTCTATGCAGAAGTCGTTATCGTTCAATGGCTTAGGTATGGGCAATGGCAGCATGTTATCTTCCGAGTCCGGGTCCCACGACAGCTCATGGTGGTGACCGTGGCCAGCACTACCATGGTGACTGTCGTGTCCCATCCCCCAGTGTCCGATAGAAGCTAAAGAAGCCACCGAGTGGGCCAAATCAGGCGAGGCCGAAGCAGAGGCGGAGGAGGAAGAGCAACAAGATTGATCAGCCCCATGGTAGGATGCGTCCATACCATTGCTGATGGGCGAAAGCTGGCCAGTTTGAGCAAAGCTCATGGCTGACGACATCGAAGCAGAAGTTGAAGTTGACGAAAGCGAGGTGAACCAAGAAGATGACTGAGGAAGACCCTCAATATTATCCGAATCCATGCTGTGGCAATCCGACCAGGACTCCCTCCCTCTTCCTCCCTCTTATACCGCATTTTCTTATTCAACTGGGGTTTATCCTTCCTTCTTACGGTCTGGTACATACCTGTGCTTGCAGGTAGGAGACGGGGCCCAGCCCAGAAACAATAAGTCCAGTCCCACTCAGGTTTCCTGCTCCCGTCCTGGCCCTGGTCCTGTCGAAGCTGGTGAGACCCCCACCATGCCCGCTAACTCGACGTAGCAGACGAACAAGGACCCCGGTCCTCCAAGATCCCCGGAATACGGCTAAGATACCGTACGTGAACTTTGTACTGTGTAACCAGGTCTTTGGGGATTGATGATGGGGGAGCATAGCCAGGGGGGGAGGGGAGGTCAAGCTTGCGTGGATACAAAGACGTATGTATACATTGGGGAACTGTAATTGTGAATAGCTCTGACTGGTATCCAGTTGCCAGTCGCTCTGCGTGATTTGCTCAGCTCGCCGGTCCCGCTGGCCGTCTTGCCTGCAGGTGCTCCCTAGATCTACTAGACCGTAAGTGTCACGGCGACGCATTTCACCACTACGCTATAACGTTCCGTGTTTCCGCAAAAGGATACAAGTAACCGAAGCTGGTAATTCGGTTGCTCAAGTGGTCTTATATAGTTGCGACGGATGCCCAGTCCGTCACAGTAAGAAGGAAGGATAAAACCCAGTTGAATAAGAAAAAGCGGTATAAGAGGGAGGAAGAGGGGGGGAGAGTCTTCTTGTGCCTTAGCGCTGCCTGAGGAAGAGGGAGGAAGAGGGAGGGAGAGTCTTCTTGTGCCTTAACGCTCATTTCACTGCGAGCATTGAGTAGGGTATTTTAAAAAGAAAGGAAGCTGGAAGGCAAAACCAACATAAGTAAAAGAGCATCAACAAAAAATACCAAAGAGAGTCCAGTCCTAACATGTCCTAACATGTCCCAACACATTGTCTTCAAGCCCCACCTCCATTCGTCACTATTAGAAGACATCCAGATAATCCAGGTCGGCTTCCCCCATATGTCCGTCACATTGGCGTTGGGTCCTCGCCTTAACCTTCGAATGTCCAGTCCTCAGAGTCGTTCCTATTAGCTCCCGTATTATGATGGGTTCATGCCCGTGTACCCGCGCGATCGAAGACAAGTGATAACGGATCTAAAGAATGTGACATATCTCTACGATTTCTGTGTGGGATAGGATATCCGCCTGGGCCCTGGACAAAGTAGCGTCTTTAACAGCTAGAAGCAGTTAAGAAGTGGATAGGGCCGGTGACTGTTCCGCTGAAGAAGTAACCCTGTCCACTATTGATGTTCTGGTTGCCGCGGCCAGAGTGGATATTTTGTGTTCCAGTACCGTAGTTGCGGAAGACGGACGGTTGGTGATACGACATGGGTGGCCTTGGATATGGTGACAAAGGTACGGACGACTGCTCTGACGGCACTGACGGCACAGAAGGTTTATGATCCTCATCATAAGTAATTGGACTCGAACATGTAGCCGGGGGCGAGGGACAATTTCCCGACAACGGGACAATGAATGCAAGCAAGGGTCCGTCCGTCTACCAACCTTTGTTTATGAACATGAGGGAGTCTAACTGACATTCCCGAAAAGCCACAGTTGTAAGATCCGGGTCGCTAGCAGCCCGGTCAGGCTGCAGGTTAGTAAAGCTAGGTTAGTAAGGGTAGCTTAGTGAAGGTAGGTTAGTAAAGGTAGCTTAGTGAAGGTAGGTTTCTTTTGTTCAAGTTCTAGATAAAGCCTTGGGCTAGGCAGCGGCGCAACAATCTAGCTCAATTTACAGACAACACACCGCCCCATAGTGACAATTCTCACAGCGCCACAATGTGACATGTAAGAGGAAATAAGGACTCTTGCTTCGTTCTGACAACAACGACTAGTCTGCCAGGCATCTGAAAGTCCTTCATTCCTACCCGGAATGGTCTATTGGCAATGCCTATCTCTACATTCTCCGCGACCGTGGGCATGAAGAATTTCTTGGACCGGACTGAGTGGGCAACGAGGCAGGGGCCGGCCGATCATTTTAGTGTTGACTACTTGGGCAATCCGGACAAGGGGGCAGGAGGGCTTGTTGACTTATTCTGTCATCAGAGTATGAAGTGAACCAGGTAAGACCGAGTTATAAACAGTATGACGTCTCCTGCAGAACCTCTTCTCTTTTTTCATCATCCGCTTTTCTCTTGACTATCAAAACTTGCAGGTCATTGCCCCTTCACAATAGCCGAGCAATCTTCGACATAATCGATCAGTCTTTAATCACTTTCCGTCTGCGGCACGGCATTCTCTCGCTTTCTCGCATTCCCACACGTCCAAACCCTTCGTTCGAGGATTGCCCAGTCAAACAGACTTATTTGCCACGGCGGTCCATATTCCACCAAACAACGTAGCAGTTACTCTTCCTCGGACCATCACTCCACCCACTCCCACCGCAGTCATACTCTCAAGGGATAATAGGCTCAGCATCTGCTGCATTTGGTGTTAGAGCTCTTATCATGACTGACCAAGGGTCTTCGTCAGCAGTGAATATGGAGTTGCGATCCCAGAAGAAGAAGAGGGTTTTTGTTGCTGTAGGTTATCTCTGACTGACAATCTCACTAACTTCACTTCTTGATTGAAGCTGACAGCTATCAGTGCCAGCGTTGCCGCAGATGCAAGATCGAATGCAGTGGCAATTTGGGCCAAGACCAACCCTGTACGAACTGCAAAAATGCAAGTGTAGAGCAGTGTCTCTTCCTCCGGGTTAGTATAGACCGTTCTTGGTTCTTCAGTTCTGTTTGCACCACCATTACTAACCCTTCTTTTTTCTGCCATAGGTCTCATCCCGCGACATTGCTTTGAAGCCCGATACATCCTTCGACTTCGACTACTCCGTCGATGACGCCCGCTTCTATGCCAACAAACATACCATGAGCCCGGCCTCCCTCCACTACGGCCAACATCCCGGGGCCATTGGTATCGGCGGCCTCCCTGGCACAGCGGAAGATTCTCTCATGGCTCAATACGGTCGTGGTTACGCATACGGTCACCATCAAGCCCCGCCGCCGACTAGTCATAAACAGGACTTCCCTGCCACAGCCACTTACGCGTCGGCTCCCAACCCTTACGGCGATCCTACCGCTGTTAGTGTAGGCAGTCAGTTTACTAATTATACGGCAGCGGGGTACTCGCCGGTACATGCCATGGCTCATGAGACTGTGGGCATGGTTCCTAGTTGGAGTTCTAGAAAAACTACTCCTTATGGCGGTGTATATATGGACTCAGCTCCAGAATCTTACGGGGGATATGGCAGCCCGAGCCTCGTCCATTGCCCGGCACCCCATAGTGGTGCCCATCCGTTGATACCTTGGGTCAACAAACTACGGAGAGAAGTCTTTCCGAACGGTGGGAGGTGGAAAAAAGAGAACGAGGGATTGTATGATCGGATGAGGGTGATTCTTGGGGAAGCCCGAAATGATCCAAAAGTATAACGCAGAGATAACTTCGCGAATTAGTGTAATTAGCAGAGAGAATTACATACAGTGATCTGCGCGCACGGCTTCCAGCTCCTCCCTATTTGCCCAGTTCAACCAAAATGCGGACTGGAGTAGCATACAAACACCCAAGTCATTTAAGAAATGGGGCCGGGTTTTGACGTCTGATGCCAACGGGCGAAGTATTTGATACTTAATTACATATAGAATATACGTCTTGCTTTCTCTATTTCCATCCAAGAAACTGATTCTGAGTACTACCAGACATCATCAGAAAACGTCGTTTTGACATCCTCAGAAACGGCACCCGGACTTCCTATTGTCGAGATTGAGGTTCGATAGTACCTCATCCGTCTCTCTGATATCCTCGATGAGTTTGTTCTCGCTGCTTAACTTGTCCAGCTCCTCCTGGAGAAGCGCGATGAGGCGTCCAGATGCCCTGTTTATTGCCCTGTTCAGGATCTAGAGGAAAAGAAGTGTTAGGAAGTGCTTCGCAAACCTTTTAACGTTCGGATATTGGTGTACCACTTCAGGGGAAGCTGAAAGATTTGCAACCGTTCCTCCGACCTCAAGCGGCTCCGTTGGCATGTGGTACGCTGACGCTCCGTAGGCTACTGCCGCACGAATTGCCTTTGTATACACCTCCCTTGCTCGGACGAGGCTAGATATAGAGTATAGTTATCAAGCCCGACATGCTTGTTTTGTGGGGTAACATCCTTTTCTTCGTTGTTCACTCTATGGCGTAAGATGTTGGTTGTCCGGCCTCCTCTGCGGTCATGGATACACCATCTCTGGGGTCCCTTGTACCGCGCGATCTTGGTCAGACCGGGAATCAGAACCTGGCGGTAGGGCTGGTGCAGGTTGATGAGCTCCGGGTCGGGAGGGGATTGGCCGAGGGCGACGGGGAAGAGGGCTATTTTTTGGAGGTTGAAGGTCTGGTGCAAAGAGTCAGTTATGGGCGGCCGGGGTTGTAGGTAGATAGTGAGAGATAGGGAAAGGGGGAAGAAAAGACGTACAACATCCTCCGGATAACGCAACCTCGGATCTTCCTCTCTCGTATAATGACACAGAAACCTCGAGCTCTCCTACCCCGGGTGACGATGATGATAACGGAACTTCGAGCTTCGCAACCAATGAAGCTTCCGGGCTTGGGCCTCGACGTGAACGGGCCCGGGCCAGCCAGCAAGACAACACTCCCACAAATCCCACCCCGTTAAACCGGGTAACCCGGAGCTCCAAATCCAGGATAGCGTCTTCCCCTGCTAACCAGTCCGATGTGAAGATAGGAGAGCAGTATCGAAGCACACTTGCTTCTGCGTCGACGGGAGTGCCTCTTTCAATCAGTTCCTCCGCGAACGCTCCTAACCCGGTCCTCTCTTCTTCAGTGGCGTCAACGTCTCGGACGGTAGCGAGAGCATGCAACGGAGTCCATCCTTCGTCCGTCACCACCTGGGTGCTGGTGCCACGCTCGAGCAAGAGACGGGCTACCGCGAGCCGCGCAGCTGTCTGTCCTTTGTTGTAGCTTTTGGCGGGAGTCAGCACACAGAGCAAGGGCGTCCACTTGTTGGCATTCGCTAACTATAAATATTATTGAATTTAAAAACATAAAACGGATTAAATATAATCTCTAGATTTTTCGGCCTAAATATTTATCGCTCGTAGCCATCCATTCCTCGCACGGCACGTCACTCCATCTCGAGACTCTTCCCCGGACACATAAATAGGGCCTCGCTCTCCTTCCCATTCTCATGTCACCGCCATGAACGAGAGAAGTGTGCCTTTTCGCGTAAATATCTCGGGAACTTCCGTGAACCTCTCGAGACCAAGCGTCAGCTCTTCTTGACAACCCCGCGAAGTGTTGCTTGAAGGGACGGTATGACTCCATTTGAGAGCTTTGGAAGGTTTCGTGGAAGATGTACCTTGTTCTCACGTCGGGTAAGAACCATCCCATTCCCTGCCCAGTTGAGCGTAACAGCCTCATGAGACCGCTTTGGGTTGAAGTTGAACTGGATCTTGAAATACTCCGGGTCCCATACCGTGAATCGTGCTCGCCGTGCTTGCTGGTTGTAGTCTAGTGCCCACTCAAAGATGTCATCCTTGAGGTGACGGAGCTTATAGAGTTGTGATTCCCGTCCTTGGAACCTGAGCTCCAAACAATCGTCCTTTTCCCCCTGATCCTTAGGACAACGGATGTCGATGAAAAAATTCCCTGGCCAGCTACCCCTCGAGTTGTAATATCTCCCGGTGTATAAGTCCAATTGTCGCGGATGAAAGTAGTTCGTGTTGCGCTCGCTGTCAATGCCCGTTCTCATTGTTTTCACAAGCTTGAGCTTCTGATCCCGACTTCCCTTCGCCAGTTCAACGTACTTCTTTGCCAGGTCAAGGTACGTTTTCCCTCCATCTTCAAATTGGAATAGTGCTGTGATGTACATTTGAGCGATTCCAGTCCGCAACGTCGTTGAGTGGCATCGAATTCGTCAGACCACCACAGCGGAATTGGATTCAGGAAACATGAAAATTGCGGAATAGTACCCAAGCCCGGCGCCTTGGTGGTAATAGGTCATCATTGGTTGAGATTTTGATCCGAGTACTGGAAGCTGGTCCCTCTTGAACAGTTCTGCGTTGTCTCCCTGAAGGCCCACAACGTTTGGAAGTGCCGTCCGAACCCATCCGAACCCGTAGAAGCGATGATCTCTGGACGGATTATCCAGAGGCACTTGGTTGCTCAAGATTGTTGGGACTTCCTCAAGAGGACCGGAGTATGGACCTCTGTTCAGCGGCAAGAATCGCCTTCGCCCATGCAAGAAGGTCGTTGACGCTCGAGTAGATGCCCCCAGCAGTTTCGAATATGCTTTTCTCAAAAGGGATCTTCTTTGGCAGTTGATAGATATCGCCGTTGTCCAGTGCTGCATGAGCAAACGCAAAATCGCCGTTTGGGTCTGGACTTGTCGTTGTGTTGTGAAGTGATAACGGGACGAGCACATACTCTCGCAGGCAATCTTCAAACGACTTCCTCGAGTATTTCTCTAAAACTTTGCCGGCGAGACTGTAACCCCAGTTATTGTAGATCCAATCACTTCGGAATTGTCCGACCTTGTCGAGGATCGTCACCGCTGGCAGAACTTCATCCTTTTGGAGGAGGAACTCTTGGTCTCCCTGATGGGCGATAGACATATCTCCGTTGAGCCCAGTTCGGTGAGAGAGGAAATCGGAAAGAGTGACCAAGTGCTGTATTCTGTCATCGGTGTTGAAACCATCAATCAGATCCTTCATCGGTGTGCTCCATTCAAACTTGGCCTTCTTGCCCTCCCAACGGACCTTTGCAAGACACGCAACCACGAAGCTCTTTGTCATGGACCCTATGCCGTAAATTGTATCGGGACCAGGATGACGTGGTTTAAGGTTAGGCTGGTTGCCGACAACTGTTCCGTGGCCCTTGGTGAAGATGATCTTATTGTCGTGTAGTATACCCACGGATGCTGACGGAGCACCCGAAATCTTACACACATCGTCGACGATGGAGATAACGGATTGGAGACGATTGCGTATGACTCCTCCGTTGTGCACAACATGATGATGAAACGAAAGAATCAATGGGAACGAGAAGGGAAGAGAAACACCAGCGAGAACTGGAGGACGCCTCCATGTGAGTCGAGCGTATTGGCACCATAATATGCGCCCCTATGGCTTTGTGTACCGCTCTTGATATGGGGTGATTGAGTTGACAGAGTAAAATGAGATGGTTCCGGTCCGGGAGCCCACCAACGCTTAGATCCTTGGTAGTACAAAGATTGGTGTCCTTTTATATATATATTTTTTTTCTTTTTTCTTTTGGTGTATCCTTAAAAAGTAATGCACGTCTCCGTCCTGAGACTGCAGCTAGATTTTCTACAGGGGTGACACCAAGATTGCGCTCGGTCAGAAGACCATTCCAGATTGGTTCCTAGTATATGCAGTTAATCGCTGAGTCTGATGAGAGCGTGGCAAGGGAGTCTCTCGCTCTTGTCTTGTTGGATCACGGTTTGGTGGTCCCCTACGACAAACTGATTTAAAGAGTGGCTGGGGCGGCCAGGTGACGGCCCAGATTCAGAGAGAAGAGTGGGGCCTATATACGGATGAACCAATGGGTGTGCGGATCACATTACTATGTACCCTGGATGTGTCGCTAAATCCTTTGCTTCACTCTTTTCACGTCAACAGACAAAGGGGGGCTTGCACGGATGGATGATATTGGGCTGGGCATCACGTTGCTCGGATTGAGGCGTTGCAGAAAGGTGGTTGCGAGCGATTCTTGTCGAGAGGTCTACGGCGGGACCCGGCCTGCGAAGCAGCTGTGATAGAACGGCAGATAGTAGTGGTGTAATGACAATCGAGTTTATCAGTGTTAAGCGGTACCGACAAGTTTATCCTTTTTTCACAAAGGGTATGGAAACGCTTCTGATATATATACTTAAGAAGTAATCTGCGAACCGAGTGTGACATCTACTTGTATTACCTGGCGAAATTTTTATCAAAGCGCACAACGAAAGAGGTTGAGCAGGCTAGGGTAACGGCGTAGGTGCCGTAACTTTTGGATTGGTTCTATTAGTTGTGGGCTGCCCGTGGTTGCCTTGTTGCGTACCATTCTCGGTATTTAGGTACCCTTGCGTTACCCCCTCTGAGTAATACTTGATGAGACTCTGATCAAAGAGACGCTGGGCAGCTAGGGTACTAAGTAGCTGCAAGCGCTGCTCTTGTACCGTTGAAAGAAGGCCTTGAGACCCAGCCTTCTTTTGGAGGTTGAAAGGATAAACAAGGCCTTCGAGACCAAAGAAGATTATTAGCTGAATTGAACTATTTGTTCCAAGCCCAGAATACTGCCCTTGTCACAGTAGAAACAGTCGGCTGTACTGCCCGCGCAATCAAACCTGCTTCACTTCGGAACTACAACGGCACCACCGAACGGCAATCCCGCTTTGTTGGGGCGGCCTCACGCCACAAATAGGTTGACTCGGGGATTCGCGACATTGCGATGTTCACGTTGAAGAATCTTCCTGTAGCTCGCTACCTTCGTCCTTCTCAAAAAAACTAGAACGAGAAGTGATACACACTATTGCGTCATAGACTCTAAATATCCAAGGGTCCTTGTCATGTTTTTCCTGAAGACGTCGCAGGTACTCGGCAGCTTGTTCTTCGACTTCACATCGCACAACAACGTATATCGGTGCCCTCAGCGTCATCGGCAGTTCCAGGGTTGGCTCGGTTAGCTTGATGGCGCGAGAGGGGGTTCGGGTAAGTTGTGCCAGTGGCCAAGAGTCCGGCCGAGGTGAGGTTGAGTTTCGCGGCCGGACCTCACCGTTCCTGAATGTACCTTCTTCCCTGAAGCTCACCGTGACTTTCAACCACGTGATGTGGAGGGCATCAGAGCGAGCAAGCATCCAATCAAGACCATCTTCCCAATGCATTGCCTTCTCCTCTTTACCCATCCACTCAGAGCAGCTCTCCATTACAGTAAAGGCTGACCAACGCCTTTCCGGGCTTGGCGCCCTGGGCCTCTCAATCATCTATGCCCAACGATGTACCCAACGCGATATTGGCGAGTCTTCTGCTTTCGCGTCGGGTATGGTGGAAGTCTGAGTCCTGCGGGATTGGTGATCCAGGCAAAGGCAGCGCCTTGAAACAAAGACAACAACAGCAACCACCTTCAAGGCTCCCAATCAAACCCACCGAGATATACGCTACGAAATATGTCAGTTATTTATACTAAGTAGTTCTCGTCTGTCGAGCAATTCCCCTGGTTTCAACTGCTGATTTACTGTACCTATAGTCCCGCCAACATAAGCCGTCCGCTCGCAAAGCCTGCGAGCCTTTTCCCATCATCGAACATTTGTATGATTAGCTGCCGAGGGAGCTGAGGCTGGCGAACTCTGCAATGCGACTCCTGGAGCGTGACGATACCGGCGGGGTCCGTCTGACGGAGGACCTCCCCAACAACAAGATTCCACCGTATGCGATACTTTCACACACATGGGGTCCCGAAGAGGTCCTCTTCAAAGACATGACGGACGGTACAGGCAAGAACAAAGCAGGCTATGCTAAGATTCGTTTTTGCGGAGACCAAGCCTGGCGCGATGGGCTGAAATTCTTCTGGGTCGACACATGCTGCATCGACAAGTCTGACAGCGCCGAGCTTCAGCACGCTCTCAATTCCATGTTTCATTGGTACCGCAGCGCGGTGAAATGTTACGTGTACCTAGCAGACGTCTCAACCCATCAGCACGGCCACGGCCCCGGTTGGCAACCGGCCTTTCGAGAGAGCAGATGGTTTTCCCGAGGATGGACCCTCCAAGAGCTCATTGCCCCAACGATCGTCGAATTCTTCTCTAAAGAGGGCGAGCGCCTGGGAGATAAGGAGTCTCTGGAACAAGAAATCCACGATATAACCGGAATTCCGCGAAAAGCCTTCCAAGGTGTCCCTCTATCTGATTTCAGCGTCGCCGAACGGATGCGATGGATCGAGAAGCGTGACACAACACGCGAGGAAGACAAGGTGTACTCTCTATTTGGCATCTTCGATGTGCACATGCCGGTTCTCTACGGCGAAGGAAGGCAGAAAGCATTGAAGCGGCTGCAGGACAAGGTTCACGAGGATTACCTCTGTCTGGCAAAATTATGGCCCACAGACCCGCGTGACCCGCACGTCGAAAAGGAGCGGATCGAGCTGGCGAAGGGTGGTCTGCTGGCTGATGCTTACCGCTGGGTCTTCGACAACCCCGACTTCAACCGATGGCGCCAGCTGCGGGAGAGTCGCCTGCTCTGGGTCAAGGGAGATCCAGGCAAGGGCAAGACCATGTTGCTATGCGGTATCATCGACGAGCTAGAGCGGCGTGTTATCGCTGACGGCGGCAACTTGGCGTATTTCTTCTGCCAAGCTACCGACTCGCGCATCAATAACGCAACTGCCGTGCTACGAGGCTTAATCTACCTACTTGCCCACCGGCAACCACGCCTGCTCTCACATCTACCGGAGAACACATACCCTTCCGATGACGCAATGGCATGGATCGTCATGTCTAAGGTTCTATGCAAGATGCTAGAAGACCCGAACTTGAAGGTCACCTATCTAGTGATTGATGCTCTGGACGAATGTGTGACAGACCAACCGCAGCTTCTCAAGTTGATCGTTCAGATATCATCTGTGTCTGCTCGTGTCAAGTGGCTTGTATCTAGTCGCAACTGGGTGCAGATCGAAGAACAGTTGGCGATGGTCGCGCAGCAGTCCAAACTCAGCCTCGAGCTAAACGCCGAATCCGTCACCACTGCTGTTAGTGCATATATCCGCCACAAAGTCCTTCACTTGTCGCAGCGGAAACAGTACGACAGCAAAATGCAGACGGAGGTACATGACTATCTCTCTTCTAACGCGAATGGGACTTTTCTCTGGGTGGCCTTGGTCTGCCAAGTACTTGCGGACCCGAGCGTTCGGAGGTGGGAGACACTAACAAAGTTACGGGCATTCCCCCCCGGGTTGGATTCTCTCTATGCGCGGATGATAGAGCAGATTATTCAGTCCGATTATGCAGATCTGTGCAGGCAAATTCTTGCCGTCTCCTCTATCGTTCGCCGACCCATCAGCCTTCAAGAACTGACCACTCTCGTCGAGATGTTAGACAATATCTTAGATGATCCACAGTCCCTGGAAGAGCTTATAGGGCTTTGCGGCTCGTTTTTGACTCTTCGAGACCAGACTGTTTATTTCGTCCACCAATCCGCCAAGGACTTTTTACTTGGCAATGCCTCTGATAAAGCTGGCAACCAAGTTTCTCAGGAGGCGTTCAAGTGGATTTTTCCTTCTGGGAAAGAAGATGTGAACTATACCATCTTCTTGAGGTCACTTAAAGCCATGTCTACAACACTGCAACGCGATATATACAACTTAAGGGCACCGGGATTTCCGAGCGACAAGATCCAAGTACCGGATCCGGACCCGCTAGCGACAGTGCGGTACTCGTGCATCTACTGGGTTGATCACTTGTGTGACTCGGTTTCTGGCACGAACACAAAACGGCTATTGACCCCGGCACCGGCAGGGAATCTAGACGGTACGGTGCCGGCACGAGCACGCCGAGTCTGGGGCAAGCTGTCCAGAGTGGGCAACTGGGTGAAGTCCAGGAAGCCGTCGGTGAGCGACTCCGGGATGTTCTCTCGAAGAGGGGTCGAGTTGCCGCTGGTCGGGGGACCACCCCATGGGTTTACCGGCAATCCCGAGATGCCTTCCTGGGCTTGGATCTCGCATGATCGTTTACAGGATAACGGGGTTGTTTATACATTCCTCAAGACGAAGTACCTTTACTGGCTGGAAGCTCTAAGTCTACTCCAAGCTATGCCTGCGGGCGTTATTGCTATTAGAAAGCTCGAGGGCCTACTAGTAAGTATAAGTCTAACTCCGCCCTAGGAACTTGGTCTAACTAAAGATATAGGGAGGTAATGATCAGTCGCAGTTATCAAAGCTTGTTTGGGATGCTTACCGGTTTGCTCTGTCTTATAAGTCAATAATAGAGCAAGCTCCACTTCAAGCATACATATCAGCGCTTGTATTTGCTCCAAGGGGTAGCTTGATAAAAAGGAATTTCAGGGCAGAAGAACCTGAATGGATTCGAACTAAGCCGGCTGTAGAATTGGATTGGAATGCATGCCTCCAGACCCTAGAAGGCCATAGCTGGGCCGTTTACTCCGTGGCCTTCTCGCCTGATGGCCAGCGGCTTGCGTCCTGTTCGGAGGACCAAACGATCAAGATCTGGGATCCGGCGTCGGGGAGCTGCCTCCAGACCCTAAAAGGCCATAGCCACGCCGTTGTCTCAGTGGCATTCTCGCCGGATGGCCAGCGGCTTGCGTCCTGTTCGAATGACAAAACGA